TAAAGCCTTATTCCGATGATGTACTAACAACTTGGGGAATTCGGCTGGGATCGATTTTATTTGCACTTCCATTTACAGTGGACGAATTCTATTCGAGTGAACTTCAATGCAGTTCATTTGGATGCGATATTTTTAGGTCGAGTTTATATTTGGCTTTGGGGAAATTAGATCTACGACCCATAGCGCACACAATTAGAGCGAATTCCAACAACCAAACTCATCAATTCAAAATAAACAAATTTTCATTTTGTTTCATTGAAAAAAAAACACATCTACATATATTAAATAGTGCACACTTTACTCAACTAATTTTGAACATATAAAAGTTATTTCATCTATACTCATAATAAATGAGAAGTATAGAACCAAAATCTTAAGTTTTTATCAAAATAATTTCAAGTGCATGGATGTAACATTTATAAATAGAGTTTATATTTGACCCCATTAATAATCAAATTTTTATGTAATTGGAAAGAAATGTAATTAAACAAACTTGCTAAATAAATGATTCATGTAGTCTATGAGAAATTCATTTTCCTAAATACAAACCTATACTAAATAACATGTAGAACCATTACAATATACTCTTATTAATTTGAAAATCCCGCTTTTGCGAAAACAAACGGCGCTCATAATTACTGAAGACTTGCCCGCAAAGTGAACAAAAGAAAATATATTACCTTGCAAGAACGAAGCAATTTACAGGGACGCCGTTTGCTCGCATTTAACTGGAAACAATTATAACGTTTATTTTAATTAAATGCATCTTTCTGATGTAGCAACGTTTTTTTTTTTAATTAAAAATCCGCGCGAAAGGGTGGGATTGCGATTGAGCCAATGCCATCGGTTTTGCGCACTTATTAAAAGTATATTTATAATGAGTTTTTGCTAAAAAAAAATAATAATGTATATGCATAAACGCAAATAGTCGAAGGTGTTCGTGCTTGGGTCGGATCCAAGGAAAAAAAAATAGAAGTTCGTGACGTTCCATTGATCATCATCCATCTAGCGCTTGGTACGAAACGTCAAAACCGCCCATTTACGCAATCCCAAGGTCACCAATCCATACCGTGAACTTCGTGTAATATCTAAATAACTCGCCATTAGATTGTATCATATAATTGTTAAATTTGGGCCCTTTTTATAATCTGGTATAAAACACCAAAGAAAATCAATACGGAAAAGGTATTAATACTTGAAAATATTGATTTTATAATGCGATACGATAGATTGTTGTGGTCTAATGATGATGGATAGCTGTGGAAAATATACATTACAGTCCACATTCTTTATATACAAAGAAAGTTGATTTTCAATTTTTGGTTGAACATTATCAAATCGTGTTTAATTTCCGGCGCCGTAGAATGATTCATTTTTTTCTGTTGTTGTTCACGCAGAATGGTCAAGGATCGTTCTGATCCGATTTCGTGTTATTATGTGTTATTTTTTTTAAATGCCAATCGCGTTGCACAATTCGATTTGGGAAGTGAAGAGATTTTCTCAATGCTATATTTAAATCATAACAAAAGAAACGTTTTTCATTATAAATTTAGAAGGATTTCTTTGCAAATTTATAACCATTCATTTTTGAATACTAGAGTTGAATGAAAGCAACAGTTTTATATTTTATATTATTTTTTTTCATATAAGCATGTTTTTTGTAATCAGATTATTAAATAATTAATGAATGAATTCTCTTTGAATGATTGATTTTTCAATTACGTTTGTTTCGATAACAACCACAACAACGTTTCATGTTAATTGATATTTTCTATTTTCAGACAATTATTTCTTATTTGTAGGGTGCTTCAATTGACTACTTATTAAGTACGCATTCGATTATTATTCTGGCACAATACGATGTAAGTGCTTATTGGAAATAATAAGATATTCAATGCAATGACTATACGATATTCAATGCAAGAACTTATTTTGTAAACATATTTATGTAAAGAGCAACAAATTAATGAGTAGAAGTTGTTTGAAATCAATGATTTATTGATTACATTAAATAATATATAATGTTAAATTGAAAATAATTATTAATAAATTGAAACAATGCAATAAATGAAACGAATAATAATTGTAATATTTTAATTATGATTAATTTCAAATAAAATGTTATTATTGAAACTAAATTATTCATTTAATATTTACAATTTACTAGAGAAAACTGAAAATCAAATAATTTTGAAATGAACAAAAAATTGTCCATGCTTTTGTTTATTGTTATTATATAATAAATGATTTTTTTTTACTTATATGATTTCTTTTATATATATATGATTTATTGAATACATTAAATAATATATTATGTTAAATTGAATATAATTATTAATAAATTGAAACAATGCAACAAATGAAACGAATAATAATTATAATATTTTAATTATGATTAATTTCCAATAAAATGTTATTATTGAAACTAAATTATTCATATAATATTTACAATTTACTAGAGAAAACTGAAAATCAAATAATTTTGAAATGAACAAAAATTTGTGTTTATTGTTGTTATACAATAAATGCATTTTTCTTACTTATATGACTTTATATAAATAATTTAGATGATATTGTAATAAGTTGTTGTTTATCGATGTTGTTGCTAAGAGATAAGTGAATCTTATCAAACTATGAGAAATTTCTATGTTTGTTTCTAAACGTTTCTATGGTTGTGGTCATGGTTATTGTTGTTATGCAAAAGATACCTTTCATATTTTCGTGCGGTTATATAAATATTATCGGCCGAAATCCCGTCTATCGAAATCCCGACGTTCGAAATCCCGCGTGTATCGAAATCCCGACGTTCGAAATCCCGAGTGTATCGAAATCCCGACGTTCGAAATCCCGACTATATCGAAATCCCTACTATAACGAAATCCCTGACTATGTCAAAAACCCGACTACCATAATCCCGACTATATCAAAATCCCGACAGTGTATTTTATTATTATAAATTTCTACAATAACATTTTTATGGTAGTCGAGATTTCAATATAGTCGTGATTTCAATATAGTCGTGATTTCAATATAGTCGTGATTTCAATATAGTCGTGATTTCGATATAGTCGGGATTTTGATTGTCGGGATTATGGTAGTCAGGTTTTTGACATAGTCGGGATTTTAAAACAGCCGGGATTTCGAACGTCGGGATTTCGATACAGTCGGGATTTCGAACGTCGGGATTTCAATAGACGATCTTTCGGTTGTAGGGCTTGCTTTATAGACCCAAATATTACAGAGAAGATATTGTAGTAAGTTTTTGTTAACAACAGGATATGAGAGAACTTTAAATAAACTTAAGCAATACTTATGTTTGTATCTAATGGTTATTGTTTTTGTTAAATAAGGCAGTGATTCTCAAACTTTTTTATTATTATGGTAGTTAAAATTCCGACTATATTGAAATCCCGAAAATTAAAATCTTGACTATATAGAAATCTCGACAGTGTCTTTTATTATTATAAATTTCTACAATAACATTTTTATGGTAGTCACGATTTCGATATAGTAGGGATTTTGATATAGTCGGGATTTCGATATAGTCGGGATTTCGATATAGTCGGGATTTTGACATAGTCGGGATTTCGAACGTCGGGATTTTAATAGAGCCGGGATTTCGAACATCGGGATTTCGATACAGTCGGGATTTCAATAGACGATCTTTCGGTTGTCGGGCTTGCTTTATAGACCCAAATATTACAGAGAAGATATTGTAGTAAGTTTTTGTTAAAAACAGGATATGAGAGAACTTTAAATAAACTTAAGCAATACTTATGTTTATATCTAATGGCTATTGTTTTTGTTATATAAGGCAGTGATTCTCAAACTTTTTTATTATTATGGTAGTCAAAATTCCGACTATATTGAAATCCCGACAATTAAAATCTTGACTATATAGAAATCTCGACAGTGTCTTTTATTATTATAAATTTCTACAATAACATTTTTATGGTAGTCACGATTTCGATATAGTAGGGATTTCGATATAGTCGGGATTTCGATATAGTCGGGATTTTGACATAGTCGGGATTTCGAACGTCGGGATTTTAATAGAGCCGGGATTTCGAACATCGGGATTTCGATACAGTCGGGATTTCAATAGACGGTCTTTCGGTTGTCGGGCTTGCGATATAGACCCAAATATTATAGAGAAGATTTAAATAAACTTTAGCAATACTTATGTTTGTATCTAATGGTTTTTGTTATATAAGACAGTGATTCTCAAACTTTTTGGTCCGCGACCCCCCTTTGAACATAAACAGTTTCTGCGACCCCCCGAAGAATGGGTATGTGTAGAAAACAACCAGAATTGATCTGTTATTAATTTTTTGTGACCCCCCTGAATTTATGAAAATAATTTAGAGGATATTTTATCAATTTTATCAATATCAATGTTGTTGCTAGGAAATGAGAGAATCTTAACTCAAATCTGAGCAATAGTTATAGTAACGTTTGTAAACGTTTTTATGGTTATTGTTATTGTTATATAAGGTATACTTCTTTCATACTCACATGCATTTATAAAAATAATAAAATACTTATTTGATCTATATCAATGCTGTTGCTAGGAGATTTTTACACAAATTTGATCAACTTTATGCTTGTATATTAACGTTACCATGGTTGTACAAGCAATACTTTCATTTAATCACGTTGTGGTTTATCGATGTTGTTGCTAGGAGATGAGAGAACCTTATCAGAATCTGTAAAATACCTATGTTTGTATTTAAACGTTTCCATGATGGTATTGTTGTTATTGTTAAGGGTGTGTGTGTGTGTGTATGATGCATATGGTTTTTGGGTGTATGGTTGAGACAACGTGAGCGTCCGTGGATGGATCTGGTAACAGCGTCGGCGTCGCGGCGAGCGCCGTGCACCAGTGACGCAACGGCGTGGCCAGATCCAAAACAAACGGTTACCCGAGCAACGATGTCGTGACGTCGCCCGATGACGTAAAACTCTGGAGCAGTGTAGTTATATATCGACGGCGTCGACTTGGAGCGTCACTGTGCTGCTCCGTGCGCTACCGCGACCGTGTCAGTGAATTTGCTAGTCCAAACTTTTATATTTTTCTACTTTTATATATAAAAAAAACACAACACACACAACAATATTATTACATAAAAAACAAATTGCATACAACACTGAATCAATCTACCGACCTATCTAATCGTACAGTTTGTTTATTGCTATTCGACCGCATCCTCAGTTACTTTGGGAAAAAAAGTTTTGTTAACACACACATCTCCTGCTGCAAACCTCTGTTATAATACACATTATCGTGTATAGTACGAGTCTTCAGAAGTTACAAAACCTCTACTGGTAAGTACATTAATATTTTATAATTTTTATCCCAAAAAAAACAATTATATCATATCAATAGAATTTTCTTCTGAATAAGTGAAACTCTAGGAAAAACTACGTTTTTTTTCTAATAGATGATAATTATGGGGTAAAGAGAGAAATAGACCTTGTAGTTGTAGTCACATGTGCATGCAGCAGTCGTATCTAAAGTGCTACTACAGCTGACTGGGAGAGCCCAGTTTCTGGGATGAGACCCACATCGAAAGGGCCGGGGTTTCGGGCGTGGATGTCGGCCACGGTGCAGGGGCCGGGCTCTGTGCCCTACATTACCTATAAATTCAATAGCGCCCTTCTGTACACACTCAATACTCGCACTCGTTACACACCACCACTCAATACTATTAACTTCATTACACGATGAAAGCCCTTAGTTACCGATGATCGGCCTTAGGTTGCACCAAAATTAGACGCCTTCGTGAAGAATTTCGGCCAGTTAATGGGCCGTTTTACACAATAACAATATTTTGTGCCAACTATTTTTCGTGCTTCTATTAATAAGCGCTTCGATAAATTTCCAACGTATCTGCTTACATTTATTTTCGCGTTAATAATTTTTAATAACACCTCTGGCACAGCTCTCTTTGGCTGTCCCCAACTTTCAAATTATTTCTTCATTTCCACAATACTTCTATTTCCATCCAACACAAAAATAATACTCTACAAATTAATTATTAACAATTCATTTACAATTACAAATATTTTATGAATAAAACCACTTCATTCCACATAAATGCACTTAATTCAATGAGAACTGTTTAGCTTTAATAACGAGTCTTTTTCATTCGCACTTTACACGCGGCCGATGAATTATTTATAAGAATAAATGAATACAATAAACGACAGAACAAGAACATCTACGTTATTTTAGTGTTTCGTATAACCTATGGAAATTAATATCTATTGTTTTTTTTTTCTGTAACCTTTGGATTTAACGAAGGTTACTTAAAATTTCTATACAATCTTTACATTTAATATGGAATTTTATTTCATTAAACTGAAGAAAATGCTAAATCATTTAACATTTCTAAACGAAATTGAATCAAAATTTATACACTTTTATGAATGAATATGTTCATTGAACAGCACGTGCTTTAGACTTTAGGATAAAAAAAAATATATATTTAAAACATGTAACTTAATGGAAACGTCGAATTCTTTGAAATTCATTACATGCGACTTTCGCAATAACAATTAATTAAAATAAATGTTTTAAAAGTTCTATAACACCTTAACAATTTTCTTCAATGTAATAAAGTAATAATATACAAGATATTATTGTGGTTTATCGAATTATTACAATATTTATACTATAAAAATTTAAAGTTTTTTTTTCTTTTTCACGCAAGATGCGCGACGAATCTGTTACGTAACGAAGCGACTGGCGATAATAAACGTTTTATGGTTGTAATAAAATAAAAAAATAAACAAAGGTATAAATATTGAATTAACAAAAAAAAAATATACGCGGTTTCGCGAAGAACAATCGAAGAGAAAAAAAAAACTTAATGGCAATTACAGAAAAGCAGTCTCGTTTTTTTTTTTCAATATGTTTTACTTTATTTTTACATGCATTAAATTAAGTCCACGCGTTTTGTTTTTTTGTGCAAAAAAAAAAACGTAATTTGCAATTAACATTTTCAATTAGTTTCACTTTCGAACAAGTCGTAATTTCATGCACTTTGAATTAAATTTTTTATCTATTTATTTAAAAAAAAAAAGATTTATTTTAGTTGTTTGTAGCTTATATGTAAATATGCCCTTAGTTCAACTAAGCTTTTATGTTTGAAACAATTTTTTTTTTATCCTGTGTGCACATTCATTTCGGTTTGTCTTTATTTTAGTTGGGGGGACAATGGGAACGTTCCAAAGCGACTCTCAGAAAAAGCTGCACTAAATCCGAGCTCAACTCCCAAAACAGAGCAATAACTTTTTTGCCCTTCTCGTATATTCTGCAACCTTCTCTCATGTTTATTTTTTTTTCGTGTACATTCAATCCCCTAAATGTACACGATTAAACTAGTTAAATTATGCACAGCAATTTAACTTCAACCTCGTTTATAAATACAATTTTATTAAGAATTTGACTTTATTATAACTAGACTAGTTTGGTAAATATTTCAATTTAAAGTATTTTTATCGGAATGTTCATTTTTTTGGCAATAATCATCCGTTGATAAGTGGAAATCGATTTAAGATTGCGAACTTGTAGAATTACAGGTAAAGTCATGATAGGACATTCCAAACCTGCTAAGATATCAAGTTTACCTGCTCTGAATCACATTAACAGATAATTCCATCGTATAATAAATATTGAATCAATCATCGACAAATAACTTACACTAGTTTTTATTTAATTTATCTATAATTAGGTCAAACGAATTGTATTTAATTTACAGTAATGCTGGTAGTTCCATTACAACTCATTCATTCATTAATCGCCTCACAAACTGGAAATATGCATCAAAGAACATCAAAAATTCATTACTATTTGATTTATTTTTTTTTTCCATTCGTAACGAAATACAATTTGGAAACACAATGGGACAATCTCTCGCTTTGTTGTTGTTTGTTATTATTTATTGTGTATTTTCCATTACAATCGTTATCATTGTTTTCCCAGCCTACGTAACGATAAATATTTATTCCTTTACGTCGCTTTTTTTTAAATTAGTTTACTTTATGGAAGAAATTACAAAAGAAAAATATACATGTATGCATAACCACGTACGTAAATCACCTTTTGTTTCCACCTTGTTGTTTTTTTTTTGCTATTTACTTAAATGAGTAGCGAATTTTTATAATTATCAATTATTATTTCAATGTAACAGTTTTAATTTTATACTTACATTTTGATACTTCTAAAGTCATCTAAATGGAAGCAATGATTTTTACAAATTTATTGAATTACATTTATTTATAGATTGTAAAAAAAACTGTCTAGTTTAACTTGAGACTTTTCCAAGAAACAACAAAAAAAATATGAACAAATGTCATTGTTTATATACAGTAAATGTCAATGCTTGTTTGTTTTTTCACTATGGTTACTGTCTTTGTAAATCCTTCACCTAAATATTTCGTAACGTAAAGTCAACTCACAAAAAAATAAATCAAATACCAAAAATCACAAAATCGTATAGATTCTTATTGAATTTTGATTATAAAAATTACTTTTTCTTAAATATCTTGGATTTAAACCATTTATATTAATCTATGATTCATTGAAAAAGTGTCGCAACGTTTCGCAAAATTTTTGAAGATCATCTTCTTTTTATGACCTTCAACCGCGAGACATCTTTGCAAATCACGGCTATTAATGGGATATAAACTATTAATATAATCAATCTTGTATAGATTTAGAAATGTTACAAAATCAGTGTTAGTGTCAAAGTCAAAGAAATCATGTCTCAAAAAATGAGTCGCAATAAATTGGTATGAGAATGCAGTCGCAGTTACATATAATTTTTTTTCTGTTAATCATAAAATTCCGTACAAAGTTCAATTGGAGTTGCTAAAATGAAATGTTTCAACTGTAGAGGAGATTTCATAACGTCCAGATAACGTAGATACAGTTAAAAATAAATCTGTAGGATGATCGAAAAAAATCTTTTTTTTTGTTGGAGATGAGAGCAAAGGACGTGCATTTCGAGATAATCCATACAATACGATTTTGCATAACATTTCTCAAAGACCTCAATTATTTAACTGCTCGTTAAAACCGTCCGGTTTGGCCTTAAGAGCAGAAAAGTTTACGCTTCTATTATTTAGAACGAAAACAAAAGGCCGGTTTTAACGGCTGGTTATCGACCCAAGCTTGCTTTTTACGTAACATCCGAAGAAAACGTTCTTTAATAATTCGTGTACGAAATTAAAGCGCTACACTTTCACTCAATTTTGTTAACTGCATATCACGCAATACATTTATATATTTTTTTAAGTATACATTGTACATGAATTTCCATCGTTATCAGAGAGGACATTAAAAGTATGTTAGCTAGCTACACACTAAACTGGCTGCGATAAGGTTATCAGTTTATACCTGTAGAGAATATTAATTATTGCAGGTACAATAGTAACGTTGATTGTGTGTGTGTGTGTTCACGGTTGAGAAACAAATTGAATTAGTCGACATCAATGACAGTTGTCTGCAAGGACAATGCGCATTATCTCTTGAGATGATAAGGAATTTGCAAAATGGGTCAATGCTCCTTCTCCAACCCAGATCCATAGACGAGATTACGCAAATTTGATTATTCATCCTTGCATTCAAAAAAAAAATCTTTGATAATTCGCAGCTTATGTAACACTATTATTACTACTTAAAAATTCTGAGATGTTACATTTATTATGTATAAGTGTGTCACTCAAAGGTAAATCCAATGATATAGTAATAATAATACAGTTTGGAAAGGAAACTGCTGTTTTATTTGTACTTCTTTGTGACCCAAGGTTTCGTGCTTGTAATATTATTTATTATTATTTATTGCAAGACTGTTTGGGATTGCGGACAGTTTTATTGTAATCGAAGAAGGTCAATGCCACACTCACATAAAAAAAAAAACAAACAAGCGCGCGCGCTCTTACACAATCGATGTGCAGACAAATTATAATAACAATATTAATTAGCTAATTAATTATGCAATGATGATTCGATGACCTCTGCATCTTTTTCCCCTCTTATGATCCTTGAAGAGTGTAGGGCAACAGTCTTCAAGGATCATAGTTATCATTTCGAACTGATGTCTATCCTTTCGTGCTGCCAATTGGCTAGAAGCGATAAAAATCGTCGGGATCGAAGCCAGGAATCCCGATCCTGGATCAGTCTCTCTAAGTTTGTTCGTGTGCCTCTACGAACCACTATTTATAATCCCTTGTTGTTCGGAGGTGACAAGGCTACACCTAACATACGAGCGAGAGCACTGAAATTTTCAATTGTTTACAGCGAGCAGACGGTTTGGCAACGTGGCATTCCCATTTGGAATTCCTCTGCTGGATCATTCAATGCTATCCATCGTTGTTCTAATTATTCCCAAAGATTCCTTATACTTATCCAACAGAGAGTTGCAGAGTTCCACTGGACAAATACAATTAGCTGATCATGTAATGATTACTAAGGTTACCAAATTATATTGTTTATAAACAAATGTAAAAACAATTACTATAGAAAACAAAAGTTTGAATAACAGAATTGACCTTTCATTCTTTTGTGCTTAAATTAAAGCTTAACAATGCTTTGATTTTGGGTTATAATGAATGATGATTAATGCACAACATGTTTTAATTCGATGATATGTGTTATCAAAAGGGAGGGAAGCGGATAAATCCTGAACAATATAACGTTTAGTTGGTGCGCACAAAAGGCAGTGATCGAAACGATGATTGATAGCTGGATTATATATGGTTCAAGTGTTCGAGAGATCCCCGCGTGCGAAGGGTGGGTTTAGTCCCCCTAATATTTGTATAGGAATCATATATGTAATATTATTAGCCCAATGACAAGTTCGAAAACAAGCTAAACAAACAACGATAGAATCTGGATGATTGAAGAACTCAAATCCATATAACACAGAATTGAACACGACTTATCTAGTTTATTTGTTTTAAATATGCTTATGTAATCTTCCTAAAGCCAGATGTTTTAACGCTCCAATTGTTGTTGTAACAATTTGGAAAGGAATCGAAGAAGTCGATGATTGAATTGTGTCAGTTGTTCTATTCACGATGTACGCACACTTGCGCTTATAGTATATAGTAAGTAATAGAAGTGTAATTGCGGATCAATTGAATTTCAATTAGGTCGTCCTCGAACTCCTGGGTCAAGATCATAATTGATACGAGCTCAAATAATAAATAGTCGGATATCGTGCGACATTTACCAGACACGCCACGCTTTCTTCTATCTAACATGAAAATACATTCCGTGCGCAGCTTTTTATACTTTTCCCTTCTTCCTTCCATCACCGTCCATCACATTCAATTAATTATCACGAAGTGTTATTTTTAACAAACGCTGTTTGTTTTTCTTTCTTTCATTAGCGAATGAATTAAGTAATTAGCAACAAAAATCGATATGATGAAAAAACAAACTTATTTGATAATCCATAAACGAAATTAATTAATCCAATATGAAAACGTTTATATAACGTAATTTAATTAATCAAGTTTTTATTATAATTAATCGGAAACATTTTTTTACTTGAAAAATCAATATTATGAAAAAACAAAATTATTTGATAATCCATAAACGAAATTAATTAATCCAATATGAAAATATTTATATAACGTAATTTAATTAATCAATTTTTTATTATAATTAATTGGAAACATTTTTTACTTGAAAAATCAATATTATGAAAAAACAAACTTATTTGATAATCTATAAACGAAATGAATTAATCCAATATGAAAATGTTTATATAACGTAATTTAATTAATCAATTTTTTATTATAATTAATCGGAAACATTTTTTTCTTGAAAAATCAATATTATGAAAAACCCACTCAATAAACACATTTTCAACGTAATTTAATTACTTTTTTTTAATAGAATTAAGAACTTTAATTTAATTATAATTAATTATGAGAAAATGTATTAGAAATAACTAAATTTTATCAATTAACATACATTATTCCAATTCCTGAAATTGATTGTAAAAAAAAACATAAATTGTTGTTGGAAACATTTGATTACAGCTTTAATCTGATATATTGATTTTTCCTTCTATATTCATTATTAATAGGTCAATCGATTTGATTCGTAATACGCGATAAGCTGTGCACATGTTTCCATATTATAATTTATTTTTTCTATTATCGAACAGATAAAAAAAAACCATCATCATGAATGAAAACGCAGCGAATTTGCTTGCAAAGCATTAGTGAAAAGTGCAAAATCTCAATTTGCAAACGAGATTTTGCATGCAAATCATATCAACTTCCGTCATCACGATTACAATTTACTTATTCTACATTATTTATTTATAATTAAGATTATCAATGAGATTCAGCTTAATTTACTACAATTTATCAACATTGAAATCAATTTTTTTCTTTCATAATTCTTGAAAATTAATAAAGTTTATTTTAAATAGAATACAAAAATAATTTGGACTTTGGCGCTTACAAAAATAGCTTCAAGCTATTTTCGATACACGAATGAAACAAAACAATTTTGTTTTTTCGTTAATAACATTTGTATTTTTCGTACTCAATGCTAATACTATGCTTTTTTTTTGTTTTACTTATGTCAAAGTTATAATTACATTTTGTGTGATTCATTTCATGTTCATATTTGTAAATTTAAAACAAAAATAATGGATGATATTTCATAAATCATTTTCAACGCCCACTTTAAAAAAAAAAATAGATATACATTTAGATGATATTTTCATTAAGTGAAGATTAGTTTAACATATGTCATGGAATTTTGATGGCCCAATTTGTATTATTTCAGATAGTTAATAATGAGTTTAATTTAATGATTTTGTAACATGAAATTACATTTGGACTACTTTATTAATTGATGAAGCGTAACGATTTTGTACAAAATACTTGGGTGATGACCTAAAACTAACTTTGTTATACAAATGCATTAAATCGATTTGTTAGAAATATCCACTAATGTCCTGTAATTTCATGCAGCAGCTAATGATTTTTTTTGTCCTTAATGTCCTTTCTACATTGTTACAAACAAAAGTTATTTATAAGTATTTGATAGTAAATGTTTATTTTTTTTCTTCATGACTACTCGTATAAAATTCCAATTAGAATAATCAAACGCAACATTACTAATTGTTTTTTGTTGTTGTTGTTGCAGGTATAGCTTACACAAGGTTTCCAGTTTAGACATCAGCAATCAGGTAAACAAAAAGTCCAATGTTTGTTTAATTTTTGTATCATTACTCAGGAAGAAATATGATATTTCTTTCTGCATTATTTTTGTATAAATCAAATAAAATCATTCATGCGAAGTTCTAGAAATTGAAATTATTTAATTGTAATAATTACATTGATTGCAACATTACAAAATAAATTTTAAAAAAAATGCATGAATCATTGATATTATGAGAAAAATATGATTGTGTATTGAAGTAATAAACAAATGTTTATGGCTGCAATTGAAATATTTGCGCAAACGATTGGTTTTGGTGCATATACACATCATTTGTGCATATTTGCGAGAGACCAGACGAGCTAAATTACGACTCACGTGTCGCACGTTTGTGACGTAACGTCGACCTTGAGGACCGCATTACTACACATGTAGGATGTTATTAAATGGATCTGTATTGCGTGTGCACACGGAATCCGAAGTACACACAACATGCACCAAAAAAAAAAAAGATAAATTATTGAAGAATCTACTTCGGATGTTGGCCTGGTTTTCGTCCACGCGCTCCTTCCTCATCCGCTCCGACGTTCCAAGATCGATCGGATGTAATCAGAGACACCACCTTCCTACATCTGTGCAGATGGATATAAACCAGAAACTTTCCAGCCTTGATTACGCTCAAAAACTGTACGGCGCAAAGTATTTGTGACGTGTACGTACGACTTCATGGAAAAGTTAAGCTGCGATGCGATAGTAGTATAAAATATGCTTCTTTTATTTATAAATCAAGGCCTTCGTAGTTTAATCCTATTATTTCGTTGAATCGGACCACCGTTTGAGGAATGGAAACAAAACATTCTTCGTCGGAGATGTGGGTTAATCCATTGAGCTCCGAATCGATGCTGTTTATTAATATCCCCAAGTTTCTCTTGTAATAATGCTTCGTCGTAAAACAGCACGAAACTATTAAGTCTTGCATTATTGAAGCAATCAATGTTACAGTACAGTAAAACATGAAATAATAATCATACTTTAATGGTTCAAAGCTTCAAAGGATGAATCCTAAAAAAGGATAGTTTTAAAAGCTACAAAAATCATTGATATTACACAAGTTAAAACAAAAGAAAGTTTTGTGACAATTCGACCGTGCCAATAGTAATTTCGTTCACCTTGATTATCCTCTCGTATTTCCTGCTAGAAATCTTCGGTTGTTGCGTAACCTGGACCGCGCCGCCGATTAATCACCAGAGTTACGAGATCCGAAACCAGAATACGTAACGAAATCCATACCCGTGAGCATGACAAGCTGAATAATAAGTAAAGTATAAAACAAAATTGCGAATTTTCCACCAATTTACTTTTAACAGTTTCTACTCTCCTTATCCAACGAAACGATCCGTGATGGCACGTGAACAACAGTTTTTTTTTTTATTATTTTCATCTTACATAAAGCGACGCAAAGGAGATGGAACAAAAAAATGGAAGAAAGAATGAATGATAATGAAAACATGCAATAGCTATAAATATTTGTTAGGAGAGAAATAAAAGTTAGCATATTTGCTCCAGTTTTGCTAAAGTTTTTGGAGCGGATTCCCGAAGGCTTCATCTTAGTTAAACTTAGTTTTCGGAAATGGGAAAACAACAGGAATAAAGTTTATACAGAATAAACTAATTGCTTGGGTATAAAGAAAAAAATGCATTTATTGCTCCATTCATAACTGATATGATTAGATAGTTTCAATTTCAGTTTTTATTTTTTATCAGCGCGATAAAGCGTGCATTCAATTAATGGAATATAATGATGATAGTGGACAGAACAAAAACAAAAAGTGATATGTGTGTGTGTGGAAATATTGCCAAGGCGAGCAACAATGATTCTCTTCGAACAACAAACGTATTATGCGCTGTGTGTTCTTCACTTGGGGTTTAGGGAATCCCGATCATTTAATTTGTCTTCACACAATGGTTAGGTAATTAGATGTTTACTGAAAAAAAAAAGTAATAGAAAAACAAGTGTGATTGGTAAGTCTTGCACCGCGAATAATAAGGACGTACGAAATTCGCAGAACTCGAATTGCAGTTGTTACCAAGAAGAAAGAAGAAAAAAAAACATCAAACTTATTGACATATTTACATAAACCTCAATGCTGCATATAAATATTTATATTTTGTAAATTAAATATTATATTTGTTTGCAGTTTAATTACATAAATATTTGCGTTTTCCAAGCACAAAGAGTTTAGTCTACTTGAATTTAAGAAGCAGTATCAAAATTTTGTATAAATAAACAAAGAAATTCGGTATCAGTTACATACTATATTTCCTTGATTTATTATAGAAAATTGAAGTCAAGATTGAATATTTTCTCCTTATCATTTGCTACCTGAGAAATACGAATATTTTGGCCTACATTTTCACGACCATCCTTGACAAAGACCCCAACAAAATGTAGCGCATTTGCTGTATTTATAAATGTTAATGAAATTCGCAGAACTCGAATTGCAGTTGTTACCAAGAAGAAATAAGAAAAAAAAACATCAAACTTATTGACATATTTATATAAACCTCAATGCTGCATATAAATATTTATATTTTGCACACTAAATATTATATTTGTTTGCAGTTTAATTACATAAATATTTGCGTTTTCCAAGCACAAAGAGTTTAGTCTACTTGAATTTAAGAAGCAGTATCAAAATTCCGCATAAATAAACAAAGAAATTCGGTATCAGTTACATACTATATTTCCTTGATTTATTATAGAATATTGAAGTCAAGATTGAATATTTTGTTCTTATCATTTTCTACCTGAGAAATACGAATATTTTGGCCTACATTTCCACGACCATCCTGGACAAAGACCCCCACAAAATTTTGTTGTGCTGTATTTATAAATGTTATCCAAAACGGTTCAAGGCTCCAGAATAGGGCCGTAACGAGTGACGGAAACGAAACCAAAAAAAAAACTATTGGCCCAAAACTCCGGTCAATTTTGTTGTCCATTCCATTTGCTGCGTTCAGACAAAAGACCACAGTAAAAATAAATACAGCATGACATTTTGACGCAGTTTGTGCAAACCGTAACGCCCAATTGATTGCGTTTGCGACAATGTTATACGATGATTTTAGTTTTTTTTCAGCCCGAGGTGAAAACGATAAATTCAATTATACAATAAAGCAAGGTCGATTGACGTTATCATTGGACCGACGCGATAAAGGCTAAATTGGAAAATTGATGTAACAATGAAGCAAAATAAAAGTTATTATCAAAATTATGGAATCACGTGAATTTTTACATTAAATTTAACTTGTTAATTAACGTGACCACTGTTTGTTATGGGATTATACAATATTTATACAATTACGTTCATTTACTTAATACGTATTTACCACTTGATAAGACGCAGAAAATCTTAATTAAAAACTGTTTTATCTTCGTTACTTAAATATTAGTTAATTCATAAGTTTTGAATAGTTTATATTATTTAAGGCTCAATTTTGTGTATTGAATAATCAACTCGTATTATTACGTATTATTTATAATATTGCTGTCAATCATTATTAAAGTCATATTTTTATATCACAAAGCATACATATTCAAAGAATAACATTCGATTTAAATACAAAAAAAAATAGGAAGAAACGTAAGGCGATTTCCTTTGAAGTTTTCCCATGAAACGCATAACAGTGGAAAATCACGAATGTGTGTATATACAATTTTTTTCTTGAATGAATTTACAAGATTTACGTTTAATATTTACGTCTTTAAACATATACACTGCGCGTATATTTATAGATTAAATGGATAAAATTAAAAAAAAAATTGTTAGATTTTATTAAAAAATAAATCTTTGAGATTTCATTTAAGAAAATAAGAAAATTGTTTACGTAAGATTTCTTAGCAATTCTGAATTTGCAAGAAATTAAATACAGGCGTTTATAATAGATATTTTTTTTTGCTTTTCGCGCAATTGGGAATTTCGCAAGGCTCGTCGAAAAACGTTTTGGAAGCGCCAGCACACGGATATAGAACCAGAGAGTGCGCGTCGTGTATCCTTTTGTTTTATTTTTACGTCCTTTTGAGATTTGTACGTGGCGTGGAAAAAGGCTATTATAAATAAAACATCCCGGATTTTAAAAATACTCGCATCTCCTTCGTCTCAGTTGTTGTGTGTGTATATATATAATTTTTTTTCCTGAAGACGTAAACATTATAACGTCAAGTATTTTTATTACTCGAAGATTCGTGTTTTTCTAACATATTTTCCTCATCAAGGATGAAAAATACAACTTCTCTTTTGTGCTTCGCACATTGCGTTTTCGCTAACGCACGTATACGAATGTAATCAATTGAGGTCGAGCAACGAAAATGAAATGCAGAAGAAGAAAAAATTGGATCAACGGGGATAGGCCTTTATGGGAATTTATTGGTAGTCATAAATGGATGAGAAACTCAAGTGAACGAAACGGTCTTCTTCTTCATCGCTCCCCCTTGAATCGGGGTCGTCCTGGAGGATCGATATTTTATACTGCCAACGCCCGGTTGCCTTAGACACAATGACACACAATATCCGAAGAAAATTAACTAGAGAGTATCAAAGACGGCGGCGGCGGCAACGACGACGTCTTCTCCTTTACTTCCACCTCATCCTCGTGATGCGATTGTTATGACATTTTTGGCACGGGTGAATCACTGGTTAAGTAGCAGGTACCGATTTGGCATCTCATCTGGTCTCAAGCTGTGTGTGTGTCTGTATCTTACGGTGACGTACGGAATCTAGGTGGTTCCAAATTTATTTTAGAAGCGCATTGCAGTGTGTGTGTTTTTGTGTGACCTTTAATCCCAAAGATTCGGCGCGCTCTTCGAGCCAAATCTTTCCTAAAAAGATCAACGGCGACATTTAATTAGCGCATCCATCCATCCGTCCAACTGCAACAACACACGCATTATGTAGCAATTGTGGCGGCTCCCGCGAATGAGCAATACCAACAAGCTCGTGATCCTAATTTCTCCCGTTTTGTTTCTTTCTGCTGCTCTTGCTTCTTGCTTAATGCGCGATCTAGGAAGTACCGAGCAAACACAGTTGACACGTGGTGGCGTGTTCAATAATGGATTACATTTACGATAATTGTATAATATTTCTATTCCAATACCCGTGCGTTGTAAATATCGGCGAGGAAAAGCCTTGGGATCGTTCGTTTTCATTTATTTACATTACTTTTTTTTCTTTCCAGAATTTATGCAATCGCTTTGACCCAAAAGAAAATATGCTACTTTCTATTCCTTGACACAAACTTCTGCATAATCCAATGAATTTTACGATTTTTTTACTTAATTGTTGTTCAAGGACTTTTCATTGTACATTTAATTTGTAAATTATTTAAAACTTTATATAATTATAATATCCAATTACGTCCATACAAACAAATTCGTTTTCTGGAATGAACTTCAATGGGTCTAAATATAGCTGGAAAGAAAATAAGTAATCAATATACGCGTCACTGATGACGTGGGTTTGGATTTGATGAAGGCACGAGCAAGGAAAATACCAAATTAAGGACGAATATCTAGTGAATTATTATTAATCTTTCACTGTGATTACAAAGCAATTCCTCAATTTATATTTATTATATTCCTATTACCTTTCATCCCCAAAACCAAATTATTGAAATCTATTTTCGTTTCTCTTCCATTTTGATTTAGGTCAAACTTTTGCAACTTTGAAGTACTTTACGAGCAATAAAAATTCACATTTGTGTTGTAACATAAAACTTATATTCGATTGAATATAGAAGTAATTGTTGTTAAGGGAGGGTGCAATCTTGATGGCATTTTCGTGTTAAGGAAAATAAAAATAAAAGAGTTCAAAAATGATGATCGACTTGGCTGAATGGGTTTTCGCGTGGTTCGAATAATTTTAATTGCAAATTTTTCGGATACCGATCGGATGGGGTGGAAATGCGGGCACATGCGATGGGATATTATTATTTTTAAGAAGGTTTCTCCTCCACTACCAATTCCGACCCCGGCCATTGTTTGAAGGGAGGTAAAGGAAAAACCGCTGGAAAATCGATAAAATAAACGTGGATTCTAGTGTGTGTTTGTGTGCGAACGGGGGCGGCATTAAAATGCCTTATTTGCGTGGGGCGGCATTAATTTATGTTCTGTTTGATAAGCGAATTTATGTATTTTTATTGCCCTTAATTCCTCCATGGCATTTCGCTTAAATTTCACCACAAACACACACACAACAACAACATAAAACCAACCCCGAAATTTATTCCGACGTTTCACCACGTTTTGCACGAGCTCTTCCATTAAACCTAGATCATTTCTGCATAATGGAAAACTTATTGTTGGAATACAAACGTTCCATTCGCATATTACATCTTGTAACTTACGTACGAAAAGTTTCGAATTACGTCTGCATTGTTACATTTAGACGTTATCAAGTTCTTAACATTATTTAAATCTGTACAAATTCACATAATAAACTTAAGATAATTATAAGAATGTAGAAAGATTTAAATAATCTATGCAAGAAATATACGATTGTTGGCGCAATACCAAGAAAAAAAAATGAATAATCCTAGGAATTATAAAACGTTCGAACGAAATGTTAAAATTCAAAATAAAAACTTAGAAGCTTTGGATAAATTCCAAACGGACAAGATTACCAGAATTAAGGATCCTATACATCGAGGAAATCACCATTTCAGTTGTATGTTAATACTGGTTAAAATTAAGAAATATGGAATGTTCAATGTCTTTGCTAATTGATCAAACATAAACTGAAACGTCAATGTTGATGATGGTGATTCATGTAAATGGTTTCATTAAAAACTTTAATTCGTAATGGAGTCTCACTTCCTTTACAATTAGAGTTAATGCGTTTAGCACGGAGGCAAACAAACAAACGGACATCTCGTGCCTTCCTGCATCTATCTCAGAGCTGTGGCGTTAAATTGGATTCGTGCTTTAAAGAAGCTCCAAAGAAGACAACAAGAGCAAAAAAAAAAGAGAGGAGTAAATAGTTTCAAAGTAGAACGAAAAACTTATTGCGAATTACGTAAGAGGAATGTGGGTCGATATGCCATAACCATCGACGTTAAGTTTCTGTCAAAGACGAACTTTCTTAACGAAAAAAAAACATTAAATTGGGTTTGGATGAAAGGAATTTTATTAGTTTCTAATCTGTTTTGCATTACGATCAAAGTTTTCTACTAAAATCAAGATATTATGATTCTGTAGTAATTTACACATCAATAGAGTTTTTTAAGTGAAGGAAAAGTCTGATTCTATCAAATACAACGATCATCGTAGTATAAACTGTTAAAACTGTCGATCGTACTTCTTATATTCCATCTTTCTGTACTCGTTTTATTTTCGTACGAATTCCGCACTCGTGACTGAAATATTCACAAAATCTATTTTCGTATGAATGAACCCATCCGAGTTTTCACTTTGGCGTGTAAAAAGCGTCGGTGTGCCTCCGCAGTTTGGCGAAAAACATCATGAGAAAGAGAGGAAAAAATTAAAAGGAAGGAGGCATAAGCGGGACGTGTTGGTACCGAAAATAAACCTCGGACTCATCCCGAATGCATTTCATCATTATATTCTATTTATAATAATCATTGCCCGAAGCACGGGGAGGATTTTTTCGCTCTGGAAATAGACTACCAGTTTTTCTTTTCTTATTTTCACTCTGCATCTTGTGCTACTCTTTTCATCCAGTTTTGAGTAGTATTTTTTGTTGGAATTAAACGTGAGATGCAAAATTCGATTTGGCTGAATGGAGGGATGATGGTTGGAGGGTGAATATGCGAGAGGGGGAGATGAAACGTACGGCCTAGATGTTTTGGGTGTGACCTAGTTTTGCGTATTCATCCCGAATGCGGGGTAGCTGGAGGGTGGATGAAGAGGGTGGAAGGCGCGAGCGAGAGAGACCCGGTGGATGCCTCGGTTTATTGATCGTGAGGACCGCTTTTGCCGCTGCTTTAATGGCCTTTTTATCAAAGATTAACGCGCTTAATCTACCTCCCCTGCACAACTTTGGTACGCAAAAATCTTTGTAATAAGACTCCTCTCGAGATCACTTATCTTACCTTGTAGATACAATAACCAATATTAATGAATTTACACACTCAGCTTCACAAGAAGATACTTCACAGCTTTTATGATCAAAACCAATAACAAATTGAAAGGAAATTATTAGAAAATATAGTTGTTCTTAATATTTCAAAGAACTACTCAAAATTAACTAAATTAAAAGTGTTTTTCTTGTTTCAACTTTAAATGGAAACGCGGATTCGTTTACTTGCTATAATGTTTTACAGACCTCTTTGTGAAGACTGGAAAACCTGGATTGCTATAAATCCCCGGGAAGGGGATTAAATTGTATCGATTTGATTGAAAAATCCGCTACGCACGAAGGGTATTAAATTTAGGATCATTTATTAAATTGAAATTAATCCCCCTTCTCGAGATTGAAAGGCATTATTAAAAATAATACTTATATTCGATCGTTTAGTAAATTTGAAATGTGAAATATATAATTATTATACATATAAAGTTGTGCAAATTTAATAACATTCATTGTAAAATGTACTCCTCCAGCAACTGCATAGTTAACCCACATTTCAAATTTAGTATAATTTGTATGCAACAAGAGTATTGCTCTGGAATCGAGATGGTAATTCAGATTTATCTGCAGACGAGGCGAGAAGAATGGATAAAATTAATTCTCTTCTTTTAAATCCTGAAATGGGTCATCGGCGAAAAAAATAAGTTTTGACCTAAATAATTGTCGAATGGTAGTTAACCTACATTTGTCTTTGATCATATTTCCAAACAAAATTTACTCAACGCGTAAATATTGTAGCAGCAATAATATTTGTGCGCTTATATTTATAAATCATAAAAAAAAAATATATAATCAATACCGTCTGGAATGCATATAAATATGTTGTTGAAGGAGTTTAAAAATCAATATTTAGATTATAACTGTTTTCTGTTAAAATTTAATAAAAAAAAAAATGAAGTTGTTGTCAGCTCGAAGAATTGCCGTTGCGAATTAACGCGGCTTTACAAATTGATCGTATAGAAAGCCGTTGTTTCCTTATTAAAATCCGCCGATTAGTGACGTCGAGTTCCGCCGATTTTCCGCTATTTTCATGTAACGATTGCATAAGTTGCATATCCAGCAACAGCGGAGACAAACAAGATGTTTCAGCAAACTGTTTGTTTTTTTTTCGTGTGTTCGGCTGTTCGTGTCGGTGCTTTTGTTGTTATGCATTTAGTAAACTGTGTGACATAACGCGTTGTATTGAATCAATAGTAATCTAATTAGGTGCAATTCGAATGGTAAATACGGGTCAAGGTATTGATTATATTACAACCAAATAGAATGTGTGGAAACCTTACACGAGGCTAAAGCTTTGTACAGTATTAATAATAAGATACCTTTTGTGTTGAAGGCTGCAAATATTGTATTGTTCTCATCTTATTGTATTTTTAATTTATAAATTATAACACTTTATATAATTTGATTAAAGTTTAGCCTTGCTCAAAGATCTAAATATGAAAATTGTAATTTGTTTATTAATATTTAATTAATTTGTGTTATTTATTTGCTTGCAGATAAAGTACCTTCCATAAAGACGAAGTTAGATGCTTTGAAAGGATTATAGCATTGTTACTGATCGAGCGTGGAACTTGAAAGGGATAAATAAAATTACAAGAAAGTAAAAGAAAAAGCCAATCAAGATGCATATAGAGGTGCAGATCGCTCTAAACTTCGTAATTTCGTACCTGTACAACAAACTTCCTCGCCGTCGCGTGAACATCTTCGGGGAAGAATTGGAGAAAGCTTTAAAAGACAAATTCCAGGGTCACTGGTACCCCGACAAGCCCTTCAAGGGATCGGCTTTCAGGTGCCTGAAGACCGGAGATCCGATCGACAAGGTGCTCGAGAAGGCTGCTAGAGAGAGCGGCGTACCGATCCAAGACATCCTCGAGAACCTTCCTCAAGAGTTGGCCGTGTGGGTCGATCCCGGTGAGGTCAGCTACAGAATCGGAGAGAAGGGCGCCGTCAAGATCCTCTTCAGCGAGAAGACCGACGTGCAGGACGAGAACTCCGCCGATCGCGAAGTCACCAAAACTTTCAACCCTGAAGCCCAATGCTTCAGACCAATCGAATCCGTCGGCTGCAGCCTGAGCAATCTCACCCTGTCCCCGAAATCTGTGACGCCGTTCACCGGAAACCATCCGACACAGCAGCAGCCACCGGTCGGATCGCAGCTATCCTCCGTCATCCAATCTGCTAACGTCAACCAGAACGTCGTCCCCAACAATCTCAACCATCTCTCCTCCTCACCATCGCCCACCTCGTTGGCCAACTCCTACAAGGGATCACCATCTCCCGTTCCTTCTTTCATACCACGAACCACGACTCCGCTCACCTTCACCACGGCCACATTTGCGCAAACCAAATTCGGCAGTACAAAACTTAAAACTAGCAGCAAACGCGCCAACAGGTAAATACAATTATCAATACAATTTTTTAACCAAATTTCTTACGAAACTATTTTCCATGAAAAGCAATTTACTAGAATTTCATCATTTCCCTTATATTTGTTTAATAACATCGTAAACACAGATAGACGATTCTTATCAACGTCGCGATTGTTATTTATTTACTATGACTTAATAATTACAAATCTGAGTCATAGAAATTTTAATTAAAAAACTAATTGATCAAATTTCACAAACACTTATTGATCTTAGCCTACTAATGACCTAATTTAAATTATTAAGAAAGCTTATCAGTTTATGATTCGTAACTCCTTATCGAAAGTCATTATATTTTGTTCATTTTCATAACTAACAGTAATTAGTCGTTAAGTTAAATTAGTTCTATTATGATTATTATAATTTGTTCTTCTCTTTTCAGGATGTCTCCAACTGAATTCAGCAATTACATAAAACAGCGCGCGATGCAGCAACAGATCCATCAGCAGCCGCCTCATCATTCTCCTGGAGGTCGCGCCGTCTCTCCAGATCCTTCCTACTACTACACCCATGGTCCGTACGGACACCATGGACCGCATCGTTCCATGTTCGAGTCTTCCACTCAGTTCCTCAGTCCGGACATTTACCCAGGAAAGATACCTTTCGAACATGCGGCGGCCAACCAATCCGTGGGTCCCTTCTATCAACCCAGCAACCCAACGGTAATGGCCAACTCGCCCAGCGCCCCAACCACCCCTCAAGACAGCGGAAAGATCTTGGACAACTGGCCATACACAGCGGCTGGCCAATACCAGCATCTCCTCGTCGCCAACTGAGATAACTAGGTGCTCCTGCGATTTTACTTACTTTAGCTCTTGTCTATCTTACCACAACAACCGAAAACACCAAACGAACTATGTCAAAAGGATGAAAGCGGAAAAAAAAGACCTATGGATAAATCTAGTAACACAGGGAAAAACACACACACACTGAGAGAGAACGAAATATAGAAAGAAAAAAATGTCGGCGCGGGCGCAAACAATATAACTACTAAGTACCTAACTACTTAGCATAATCTAGACTATTTCTCGTATAGTAGTTAGCACGATAATCTATTTTTAAAAGAAGTTCCTTATCGATGAAATATAAAGTAATACGTGTACATATAGAATTTTTTTATAACGTTTCTTACTTTTTTAATTTAATAATAAATAATATATTTAATGAATATTACTTATTAGGCGTTTATTAATTTGATTAATCTCTTCGTTTTCGTTGCATTGAAATCTCAAAACTATTTAGATTAAAAAAAATAAAAAGGAAACAGAACTAATGCGAAGTGTTGAATAATAAGTACAATAATGATGTGTCGAGATTTATTGCGAATCCACAGCCAGGTGGAAGAAAGAAAGGAAGTGATGAGTGAGAGTGAGAAAAAGAGAGAGAGGGGAGAAAGAGAGAGCAAACTGAATGTAATATTTTTTTATCTGAGAGAAAAATTTGAATACTCAAAAGACGATTTATTAGTGGAAAAAAACAATTTTGGAGAAAATCTCGTGGAGCTGCAGACATAGTTTCGTTGGGTAAAATACGCAAGAGCCGAAGGACTACAAAACAAACAAAAACAAACCACAGAAGAGGAGGAGGAAAAAGAAGATGAATGAAAATCAACTTAGTAATAATTTATATCTTTCTTATTAAATCTAATTAAAGAAGAAGAAAAAAAATCGTAAAAGAAAAATCAAGGTAAAAATATATTATACGTATAAATATATTCAAGCTTGATAATATAATTATTATATTTTCTCTTAAATTATTATCATTAACGAAAAGTTGAAAAAAAAAAATAACAACATAGTTGAAAAAAAAACACAGTTAGCGTTATTACGTAAATATAAATATATTATTATTATTAATTATTATTTTTTTTAGATAGATGTTTATTACTTTACTATACTATCTTATATAAACAGGCAAGAAAAGAAAAGAAAACGGTGTTTTAAATGTTTACAGTATTCTTGTAGGAATTATAGAATTTTTCTAAATTTTTATATATATATGATATATGAAATATAATATGTATGTATTTTTTATTTTTGTATAATCGAGAAGCTCAAGCTGTTGTCTCATCTAGTCCCAAAAACTTACGGAAGTATATGATATATATATATATTAAAAAAAATGAATGAACGAGAGAAGAAAAAAAAAAGAAGAAAATAAACACCCTCCCACCCATATTACATAACAACAAACAAACAAACAAACAACTTATGTAAATTTTTGTTTTTATTTTAACTTTTGTTTTGATACGTGTTTGCATATCATACACCAGGAGAGAACTAAAAAGAAAAAAAGCAAATCTTCAAAGAAGCGAAGAATCCATTTGGAAATGAGGAAACTAATTTAACAAAAACAAAAAAAAAACTATTAATAAATATTTAAAAAAAAATATATATATATAATAATAATTTAATTAAATAAAACTATAAATAACAAGACAAGTATTTCAGCCCGAACTTTATCATGGGTTCCTAGATGTTAAATTTTTCCTATACTTTATTTTCTATTAAAAACCGAGAGAGAAAAATATATATATATAATAAGAAGAAGAGAGAGAGAAAAAAAAACAAACGCAAAAATATTTTATAATTAATTAAATAATTAATCATCGTGCATCCTTTTTTTTTATTTGTCATATTTTTTTATTATTATTATTATAATTAGTACTACTTATTATTATTATTTTATGTTTTTATTACTTTGTATAGTTGTTGAATTTTAATAATATATATTTTGTTACAAGGTTATGGTTTCTTTCTTTTTATTGTTGTTAACGTTTAATTAATTAATTGTTTTTTTTTATAATTATTTATTTAAAGCACTTTGTTGATTGTACCTGAACTGTGTATAAACAAAAGTACTAATCCAGATTTGATCGCGAGGCGCGGGATTTTGCGAATGGACTTAACGAAAGTGATCGCTCGATGCAAAAGAAAACAAATATATAAAAAAAAATAAACGAAGTTGATCTTCGAAATCACTTATTATGTATAGAGCCAAGTTGTTAGCAGCGTCGAGAGAACTTAACAAAAAGATCCAAAAAAAACACCCCCCTCATATCTTCAACGAAATCTTATATTTAATAGCGATTATGTAACCGGAACTTCCTTCCAATTATTTGTTATTAACATCACTTATTGTTTCTGGTTGCTCACTCAATTTTGCAGATCTACACGTGATATGAAGAGTTATTTATTTTATTATTATTATTATTATTGCATGAAGAATTTACGTGTAAGAAGGCTGCCGTCAAGTTCGAAGGGCAGCCGTCAACGGTTTTAGTGTTACCTGTCAGTACTAGCCTTCAAATGTTCTTCCCTTCATTTCTCGTCTTCTCCGACGACACGCAAATAAAAACACCTTTTGTTTTCAGTGTTTTATCGCGCTTTTCCACAAACACTTTTTGTTTATCCAACAATTTTTTTTTGGTTGCAATTCACGAAATGAAGAAGAATCTGGATGGAACACGCGTCGGCTAGCCGCTAGCTACACAATGTACATGATTTAATAAAAAAAAAATATATATTTAAAAAAAAAATAATAATAATGATGATGAAAATATATATAATGATATATAGATTATTACTCAATTATTTTATATACTTGCTTGGTGTATTTTAGCGTTTTACCTAAGATCTGTATATAATTATTAAACATAGTTAATGTTGTTTATATGGAGGAGACGCGATGATAGTTCACTGTATATCCAATTGTAATAGTCACTTTGTAATAGAACATTTTTTATATATATATTAGTAATAATAATTGAATTAATAACAATATTGATAGAGTTAGTTTAAATAATTGTTAGAGGAAAAAAAAATCGAGCCAGACTTCGTTTTTTTCTTTCTTTCATTTAAATCAATTTGTTACTGTTTTCTACATACGCGTGATGGCCCTTTTTCAGTTTGAATCCTGACGACTTGTTTTCTGTTCATCTGCAGGATTTCTACATCTTTTTTTTTGTTTCGAGACAGGCACTTTTATCCTTTGATTTCCCCTTACTCTTTTCATTTCTGTTTGAAAAGAAAGAGAACGCCTGTCTTTAGTAAAAAAAAAATATTCTAATAAACATAATTCTATGTCACTATCTGTGTTAGTTTCTATATGAATATATTATATATATGAAAATCTTATATACTGTATCTAAAATATATTTGTGACTATTTGTAGTTGAACTATATATACATATTATATATTTACTAAATAGTGAGAAGGATTTTTCCATCCCGTTATTATGTATGTAATATAAGTAATCTGTGTATAATAGGCTATAATTTTTCATATTGTTGTACGGTTTTTAAGTTTATATTAAAATGTTTGTGCATTACATTCTAACAATAGATTTATTATATTTACCCATCAAATCCTCATAAATCTTCCAAAAGTTCCTATACTTTGTCGTGTCCCAAGGATGGAATTCTGGACACAGTGGAATATCTTCTTCTGGTGTTGTCGTTGTGGAGTCTCAGATGTAGGAATTAAATAATTCAATTGGTTTAAAACAAGTTTATTATATTAATTGGTACTGTTGGGGTTGTTGTTGTTCCAAGACAATGTAGATTGACTAAGATTAATTACAAATACTTCTTGGAAGTTTTAGGATTAAGTTAATAACACGAAGAAACGCCGCAAACGGTCACTGTCTTCTGTGGGATTTTCCTACTCTGCATATTGATTCTGTTAATGACCTATAACATTCCTCATTGGTACCCAAACTTTATTGATTGGACACAACAAATTTTTTAGTAAGTCACACTGTTTTTTCTCTTTTGCATCATACGGTGTAAATGAAAAACTATCAGTAGCAGACGGACTACCTAAATTATTCATTAAGCAATAACTTCTGGAGCAATTTTCTGTCCATTACGTAATGCTCTTCGAAGTGCTCCTCGCGTTCCGTCGCATCCAGACCAATTCGCTTTAATGGTTCAGGTAAGTCCGGATGAACGAAAGTGCACACAAATGAAAATGCTTTCAATAAAGTATATACCTTAAGAAGATGCAATTTATGGAAACACGTGTATTAATAAGCGATACGTTCATTACCTAATGTTGTTGATATATTCAATATCTCTGACATATCTAATTTCGTTCCATGAATTTATTATCAGTATAAAGATCCATAACTAATATTGAAAATATACTTTTGATAACAAAGATTGTAAATTTAAGAATATTATTAATTACACTATAGATTTCAGATAATTTTAAATTAATTACAAAACAATTTGTTCAAATTTTCATAGTATCTGTCAGATTATAGAATGACTTTGGTTTTTGAAGTATGTGTTATAAAAATATGATAGTTACGTCGGGATATAATCAAGTAATCATAGTAACAACTATGCGTTGTTTTGAAGATTTTTCCGAGACCCTCAAGAATTATCAACGTTTGTCACTGAGTTCCTGCAAATTTACAGTTGCTTAAGCGTATAATGCGAAAGGGTTTTTCGAAAGACGAGGAAGCTAATCAGGTTAGCTATCCCGGGAAACTGGGACAAACGTCGCAATCCGAAACATGACGTTCGGATTAACAAGAATTACGTACGTAATTTTTTTTTTCTTTGTTTTCTGCTCCACAGAATACATTGGGGGACGGGTCGAATAGCGGAAACACGAACGTTAACAATAACTTTGACAGTCTTGATTTATTAAATTTGCCGTAAGTAACTAATATATGCGAAAGAAAGGATGTTTTTTATTGGATGAATCCTCGTCAGTTTAAGCTATTCATCGGATGACACCGGTGTCAAGGACCGAAGACGCAAATCCAGACATTACAGTCGTGTGGACAGGGAAGCAACCGGTGACGAATTCCATCGTCATCCTGTCGTTTCACAGGTGTGTTTGCAACTAGTTCTTCAACTCAGAGGTAAAGAAGTGTTAATTTCTTGTTGCTTTTTTTGTTGCAGGAACAAAGGGCAAACCATTACAATCCTTCAGGAGATAATTTGGAACAAGGGCCACGTCCCTGTCGAGATAAAAGCAGGCATAAATTACATTGTCTCTGTTTTTTTTAAAATTTAATCTTAGCGAACATTTGAGATAACTTTATCAACTTTAGGTGACGGATGTGAAAGGACTAGGGAGGGCGAAAAGAGCGTTGTATGTTTGTACAACAATTACAAAGGATTTAGTAAAGAGTCCTTACCGAGAACAGTCACTGATGAGTTTCTGATACCGCACTACAAGAAGAAGAACCACAACGAACGCATCAAACACGAGGATACCAATCAGTACGATTTATTTACACCCCCAACATCTTTTCACGCAATTACCTTTAGGAACAAACATAACAGGGAACGAGTTGCATCTAAGGGCGGTGGGAGTTTTCCATTCAGGGCGACATCCAGCGGGAATCTGAAGATAAACTCGCATCAGGTGGTTTTCGAAACGGACAAATTCAGCGTACTAGTAGCTGAACCGAACAACACGAAAGTCAACATTTCTGAACGGAAAATCAACAACGCCAAGATGCAGAAGGACTCCGATTACAGCAAGAACTCGGCCATCAATGCAATAATGAAACAAGTTAGGAGTTCTATTTGTGTGTAAAGTATGGGTAATACCTATGGTTAAAGCAGGGACTAGGTTCGAGTCTGGGGTCTCTTCTGGTGGGTCGCTTCGCTGACGCTCCAATCCGTAAAGAGAAGGAGTCATCCGAGTACGAGGGAAAAGCCACCAGCGAAATCCTCGATCCGGAATTGAATTTGAATCGATTGGGATACACCGCAACCGATGCGATCGATTGGCACGAAGTATTACTGCCTGAGAAGAAGAATCTCTATTTGGAGCTCTATGCTAGGATCACAAATTTCACGTAATTATTAATAAATACTTTGAAAAACAAACACTAATTTATAATTTTAGTAACGCTGATTGTAAAGTGTACATTGATAATGAAGAGTTTAATTGCCATTTACTCGTGCTGCAATGTTATTCCGAGGTGTTTCACACTTACGTTGCAGTCAAGAAAGTCGAACTTCCTTCTGTAAATCTATACTTTAATAATTAATTGATTAGTTCTTAATTAATTGTATTTAGGATAAATGCAGCCCCGCTTCATTTGCTTTCATTTACGAATGGATGATAACAGGAGATCCTTCCTACAGAGAACTCAATCGTGAAAATGTGCTTGATATCTTTAACGCAGCGAAGTATTTAAAGATCAAAGGTTATTTTAATACTAAATTAAATGAGAAATTTCAGTTAAGTTTTACTTTTTTTTTTATAGATCTAATTGAACAATGTTGGGCCTTCATCGATAATCCTGATGTGTTTTCTGAAGACACGGCTTTCCTTTTATATACCGACGCCAAAGAGAAAAATCTTCCGGAAGTTCGAGAGCTCATGTTGCCGCGCATTGAAAAGTTCTTCTTGATGTTGGTGAGCTCTCAGGATTGGTTAGAACTGGAGTTGGAGGATGTGCAAAACTTCTTGCAATCCAATTACATTTGCGTCAATTGGTATTATTGTGTAATTTGCGTTTCTTTCATTGTAAATATTTGGATTGTTTCAGCGAGATGGAAGTGTTTATGTCGGCTGTGCGTTGGTTGAAGCACGATTGGGAAAACAGGGATAAATTCAAAACAGCTGTCCTCAGCTGCGTGAGATTCGGTAATTTAGCACCTTGGCAATTGGTCGACATCAAGAGGAATCCCGATAATCCGGAGTTTAGGGATTTGGCGAAAGATCCTGATATTTGCAAGATGATTGACGATGGATTGGCGTAAGGGTTTTTATTTCTTTGAATTGTTGGTTTTTACAATTTATTGGTTTATATAGATTCGTGATAATCAAGTATTGGTATGGCCAGGAGAATGATGACTATCAACATTGGAACTCTATATTGGCGCTGAAGGAACCGCCAACTCGTAATTGGAGCGGCACCGAGAAAACGTACTTCACGTACAGGGAATTCTTAATCTACTTGGATCAGTACAGGAGGACGCAGATGATCGAGAAGTCTAAACCCAGGGAAAGCAAGAGGCCGAAGAGCATGGAAGTTCGAGTGTCTCCGCGCGTTTCCAACGAGAAGATGAATAACAAGATACCGACCATCGACGAGTTCCTCACCTCCAGAAAACCAGGGGTAGGTCCTAAGAAAATCAATAACGTTACATCATAAGTGTCTCGCAATCATCGAACGCCGGTTAAGTAAAGTATATCAAATACTTGAGGGTCGAAACATCAAAATTTTGTCGTAATCGCTTTTATTATTGTCCACAGCAAAACAGAAATAAACTAAAACTAAATAAATGTATATAACATTTTAGAATATAATTATTTTATCACACCATACAACAATTCTTTGTAATAGGAACACTTACTAAGCTCGAGGGAGATAAAAACATTTCATTAACACACTGGGTAAGTTTTGCAATGTAAGTGCTTTGCTATAACGCGAGAGAACATTAAGGTAAACAGTTTTGAAGCATTGTTGTTATATAACTTGATAACAATTCCATTCTTTAGATTAACACTTACAATGCAAAACATTTACCTTAATGTCATCTGTGATTCATAATATTTCGTACTAACAATTGTTAATTTATAGACTCCATTCCGTCCGCACCAAAGGATCGGATACCAAGCTTACCAGAAGCTTACACATAAGAGACAAATCACCAAGAGGGAAGCAGTGAGAATAATAGAACGAGTATACTTAAAGTATCGAATGAGGAAGAACGTGGTCGGTTTGGCGAAACGTTTGAGGAAAGTGGCAAGAAGAAGGGATCCTTCCGCTGTTTTGCTAAAAAAGTTCTTCGAAGTGCCTAAACGACCTTCATCTCTATCAGGCCACTCGGATCATTATCAAAGGTTTCCCAACAAAAATGAAGCGACTGTGATGCGAATGGGATTACCAAAGCAATTGGATTTCAAAGGGAAGGAGACTAGGATCAAGAAACCGGATTACGAGTTGTAAATTAATCCCGATTATGTTCTTATTACTGTTAACAATCAACTTTTTACAGTAACACAATCAACGATGTTCAGCTGAATGTGAAACGAAAAGAATACTTGACGGAAACATCCTTGTATTATCTGGAGCACGAATCGGTTCTGGTATTTGGTGGAATCAATGTGCACAACAAGTATGGCATTGGTAGGAATACTGGGAAGGATATCTACAGGTATTTGCCTATCAACAACGACTGGGAATACGTTGGTGAAATGCCGGCACCGAGGACGCATCACTGCGTGGCATTCATGTCGGGACGGATCTATGTCGTAGGTAAACCGGAATTCTTCAGAAGCAACTCTCAAACGCAACCTTTGTTTCTTTTGTTTCTTTCATAACATTCCAGGTGGATCGGATCCGAGGGAGGACGATGTCAAAGGCAAATTCGTCGTCGTCGATACCGTGTGGAGCTTCGAACCTGTAAAGCGAATCTGGTTCACCGAAGGTAGTCTCAATGTTAGGAGAAAGAACTTTGGTCTGGTGGTTTGTTCAAAGATTTTGTTTGCTGTCGGTGGTCAAGATAAGAATTCCAGGTAACTTATTTTCTTTCTTGATGTTTAATTAACAGTTTAATTTATAATACATTTGCAGAGTAACCGATTCAGTGGAAAAGTATAACGCGAATAGTGGTATTTGGGACTTTGTGGCACCTATGAGGCATCCCCGAATGGGTATAGCTTGCACCACCTTCGAGGAGAGGATATGGGTTGGAGGTGGGATGTGCGGATCTTCTCAAAGACCTTTAACGGATAGCGTAGAATGCTATGATATGGAAGCCAATCAGTTGTGTCTTAACATATTAATAAATTATACAATTAATGTTTATTGATGTTTTACAGGTGGACAGAGATTACAAGATTGCGTGTCCCAAGATGTTTCGCAACATTCTTTGCCATGTCCAATAATCTTTATTTAATTGCTGGAGCTGGAAGGCACAAGAACGCAGTAAACAATACGATTAGCTTTAGTAGCATCGATATCTGGAACAAAGAGGATCAAGTTTGGGAAGAGCATGCTGAGATGGAGGTGGCCAGACATGGTCATACCACTGCTTATTTAGGAACGCAAATCCTCATTATTGGCGGTGTGACCACCGTCTACATGAGATCTTTGAGTAGTATAGAATGCTTCTGCACCACACGAGGTCAATAATTTCATACCAAATATTTTTGATTCATACTTATAATTTGGATTTTAGGAACTTGGATTAGAGGCATGTCGACGTTACCGAATTGTCTTTCAGGACACGCGACTGTTACACTACCTCCAGCAATCCTGATGTAATCGAATCGAATCGGATTTAATTTAATTTATAATTATATATAATAATGTTATTATTTGCGTGGCGTTTATTTTTCCCACGGATTATGTGAATATTATTATTATTTTCTCTAAAAAATAAATTAAGGTAATTAAAACTTTAACCATCTCGAAATTAATGTTACCTTATTAGTTTCAAGTACATAACAAACAAATAAAACGTAATAAATTTTAAATAAAATGTAATTTCAAACTATTTTAAAGCATTTCACATATGCAACTAAACTAGCATTAAAATCCATTTATTCAATAATTAACAATTTCTCTTAAATAAAAACAAATGACTTAATAAATTTTGTATTAATTTAATATTAAATTATGATTTTTCAAATTTTTTTTGATATTTGCATTAAGTTTTTGCAAAAACAATATAAAAAAACGTTTTACTAGAGCCAGGATCAAAACACCTTTCTGTAAATATTTTATAAGAAATTGAATGGAAAATGATGTTAAATAACAGTGGAAAATAATTGTATATAATTAATATAATTGAAATTCAAATATACTTGTTAATTGGGTTGCCTATAACAAGTTGGAATTCTTATTGCGCAAAATTAATTCAATTACAATTTGTATTATGCATATTTATGTGTTTATTTGTTAAGTAATTAATATTATTTTAGTATTATGATAAATATTAAGAAGATTCAGAATTCTGATCAGTTGTTATTTAACATTTAACAGTTGGATATTAACAACTTTAGACAAATTGTTTAAACTGTCAGAGCAAGTTGTTTGTGCTTTAAAATTAAGTAATAATGGTTCTAAATATGATTAATATACAGGTAAATATTATGAAATAACTTTTTTCATATAGTATTTAGAATTTATGTGGGTTTTAGGAGAGAATACATAAATATGTTATATTTACATAATGCTGTAATTTCAATTAAGTTTGTAAATAAGTGAGATGCATTTTAAACCACTTTAGATGTGTTAAGTAATATCTTGCAGAAGTTGGTGCAAGTATTGGTATGTATTTGATTAATTGTAGGTAAATGGATTTTAAACTATTCAAGTTGTATTGCAGAAGGGTTGGATTCCAATATGCCTTTGCAGAAGATTGAGTATTGGAAATACATTATTGATGTACCCTGTTGGATGACAGCCCTGTAGAGGATTTGTAAGTATGGATGATGGTATTAATATACAGGTAAATATTATGAAATAACTTTTAGGAGTATTAGGAGTGTATAGTATTTCATATAGGTTTTAGGAGTGAATGCATAAATATGTTATATTTACATAATGCTGTAATTTCAATTAAGTTTGTAAATAAGTGAGATGCATTTTAAACCAATTTAGATGTGTTAAGTAATATATTGCAGAAGTTGGTGCAAGTATTGGTATGTATTTGATTAATTGTAGGTAAATGGATTTTAAACTATTCAAGTTGTATTGCAGAAGGGTTGGATTCCAGTATGCCTTTGCAGAAGATGGAGTATTGGAAATACATTATTGATGTACCCTGTAGGATGACAGCCCTGTAGAGGATTTGTAAGTATGGATGATGGTCAGAAATATGCAGCATCAGTATTGATTATTTGTTAGGTCCTAGGATGGTTGCAAACCTTGGGATGAATGGGTGCACACGCAGTCCTTTGAAGATGTAATTAAAAATCAAATTACTGGTTCGGTGATTAATTATAAAGTGAAGAGGCGCGGTGAAGGGGGGCGGACGTGTGCAAGAGAGGGATGACAGAATGCAATTCGATTTGTTTCCATCCAGTTGGAGTGGGCGCAGGGCGCACGCGTGTTACGTGTGTGCCAGAGATTCACAACTCAGACGGCGGGTGTGGTGTGTTGTTGTGTTATCCGAATCCATTCAATTCTTTGCTGGGAAATTGCTGCAGTTGACTAATTGGAGGTGTAATTTTGTGGTCTAAGGTGAGTTCTATCGTGGACGGTCTAGTAGTATAGGGCGCGAAAACCTTAGGGCCCATCGGAACGGTGACCGTTCAGCACGCACAGGGATCCGAACATGTCGATGAACTCTCCGTTTCAAACAACATGGAGGCTGTCTCCCAGCCTTCCCTATTCTCTTTGTGCGTGGGATCAGCGTCAAACACGTACCACGAAAACAATGGGCTACCGTAAACAAGGGTCGCTCCGCGAAACGGAATGCATCAGTAGATTTTCCTGCCCATGGCTTCGGTGGCAAAGGGCTTTCACGCCATCTCACATTAATATTGTAACACGGTCTCCTGTATATTATCATAAGCCATGGGCACTGCATAACAACAATATCTGTTATCGTTATTTACCAAAAGAAAACTTATCTTCTTCCTTTTTTTTCTGTCTCTGCGGTTATTCAATTCTTCTGACTTTCTGTAATATCATTTTACTGGGAATGTGTGATATCATAGTTGCAGGTATACAGTGACTCATACATCAGACATTCCAATTTCTAATTGCCCATTCAATTCTTTTTGGGAATTTCGGTTCTAAATTTCTTGTATTTTGCCACGAATATCTTTACAGGTGTATTTACCTACAATTAAACATTTAAATCGCCGTTTAAGTGAATTCTTATTGGACTGTCAATATGTTGTTTACTAACGATTAACTCATCATTTACAATTAAACCATCAAAGTTACATATTTTGAATAACTTAATTTAAAATATATGTTAAGTATTTATAAATTCTGTTTCTTTTTCTATAAATGAGTCATTACTACTTCATTATTTACTTCAGCTATGAAAAACTCATTACATTTAATGATCAAATTGCAGATATGCTACTGTGTCTTTAAAACAAGCTTTAAAATAGAATAAAGAAACTATGTATATTGATATTATAATACGATTCATATGTATTCACTCGAAATCCAAACACTTGCGTTTTTTTCAGTTGATTTAAGTAGCTTTTACAAATATATATCTAATTTTGAATGAAATACCAGCAAATTATATATGGAAGCAAAATTATAATAATGTTAGTTTACATTACAATAACCTTTGGATTCTTCTTTATAGATACTTTATTTATTAACTTGAAAGCAAATATTTTTGTATTTGTTATTTATTGTATAGTATTTATATTTCATTTACATAGTAAATCATTAAAATCAATATTAACTAATTTCTAAAAGTAATAAAAACTAACATAAATTCAAATAAGATTGGGGTGAATTAATTCATAAAATTAATAAATCATTTATGTTAAGTGCACTGGTGAAAATAAATAGAAAATGGACTGTTAAATAACTGTTATGCTGTAGTTACCCAATATAGACTGTATGTCTGTTCGCAGTTCAATATCTCAGTTGTTACTCGCATATACACAAAAGCGAAATACGTTGAGTATATTCACAAGTACAGTTAAGTCAATTTCTAATTGCATAATAAATATTTACTTCTATATGAATATAATCTATATTATACTATTTATTTATGCATATTGTGTTTTCTTATTTTAGGTGAAGTAAAACATCACCGGTCAGCCATGAGTTACATGCAAGCAAACCAGAACAGACCCAGTAAGTACTTATCATAATCATCCTTGTAGCATTGCATCCGATAGTTGTTAAAGAGTTCTTTCGTTCGCGCATCTCGAAAACATCTACATGCACATATTTATAGAGGTTTTTTCCTGTTGCGTCTTTACAGCTCGGCCCTCTCTCCCACCCTCATCCATGCATTCTATTTACGAACGCAATTTATTTGTTATTATTATCTGTTTGAAGTTTGAGCTTTGACGCAGCCGAAGAACCGATGATGTATTTATGCCAGCGAAATTACTTAATCTTTTAATAAATAAGACACACATACACACATCCTCCGTCTTCAAAAATTGTCGAACTACCCGCGGCTTTTACTATCGATACTACTTTTGATGATCATTGAGGGAAAGAAAGCTGTGCAATAATATTTTTGTATACTATAAAAGAAAAATAAATAAACAATTTGTCGGTATCAAATAAAATACAATACAATAGCTTTCAAAACCAAAATGAGAATAAGTACTCATTTATTCCTTATAAAGTTATCAAGCATTTAATTGCCGGATGCAATAAATACGGTATACATATTATTCTAATGCACCTATTTTAGAGACCTTTAAACTCGAACTGTATTTCAAACAAGTGCAGCTGCATTAGATGAAGCCATTCCATAATTTGTTGTATTTCAATATTATTCTAGTCAATGAGATGTGTAGAGTAATTAATTGTAGGTCTAGATTGCCAAGGTTCATTTCGCACCGAGTTTTTTAGTTGATACTTTGTGTGGCAGAACTGTACTTATTTTTCTATCGTCGCTATCTTATCAGAACCAAACCCTGGGCAAACTTAAACACTTAAGTAAGAGTACAGTGTACGTACTGATTGAGAGCCCAATAATAGTGTGTGTGTTTTCTCAAAATGTAAATTCGCATAATGCTGTTCAAATGATTTGTTTGGTTTATTGATTAATGTTATTTTTGTTATCAGTGTCTCATGGCAACTACCAGAGTGGACCCGATCTGCCCATAGGCTCTGCCAAAGAGCAAACCCTAATGTGGCAGCAGAATTCGTATTTAGGCGACTCCGGAATCCATTCGGGGTCTGCCACACAGGTTCCTTCACTGACAGGAAAGGAGGACGAAGAGATGGATCTTTTCGATATGGACCAGGGGTATACGCAGGGTTTCACCGCTGATCAAGTCGATGGTAAGTACACAATTGTCTCTGTCCATCGATGATTGATTTTTTTTTAATATTGCAACAATGTTTCTTTAGAAATGAACAATCAGCTGAACCAGACTCGCTCGCAGCGTGTGCGTGCCGCGATGTTCCCGGAAACTCTCGACGAAGGCATCGAGATTCCATCCACACAATTCGATCCTGGACATCAGACAGCTGTTCAACGTCTGGCGGAACCCAGCCAGATGCTGAAACATGCCGTGGTTAACTTGATCAACTACCAGGACGATGCTGATTTAGCCACCAGGGCAATTCCTGAGCTGATCAAGTTGCTTAATGATGAGGATCAAGTTGTGGTTTCGCAAGCAGCCATGATGGTGCACCAGTTATCGAAGAAGGAGGCTTCACGACATGCAATCATGAACAGTCCGCAGATGGTAGCTGCTTTGGTCCGGGCCATCTCCAATTCCAACGACCTGGAAACAACCAAAGGAGCTGTCGGCACTTTGCACAAGTTGTCTCACCATCGTCAAGGTCTTCTGGCAATTTTCAAGAGCGGTGGTATTCCGGCTCTCGTAAAGTTGCTCAGCTCACCGGTTGAGAGCGTGCTGTTCTACGCAATCACCACTCTGCATAACTTGCTGTTGCATCAGGATGGCTCTAAGATGGCAGTGCGGTTGGCTGGAGGGTTACAGAAGATGGTCGCACTCCTGCAGAGGAATAACGTCAAGTTTTTGGCCATCGTCACGGACTGTTTGCAGATTTTGGCTTATGGTAATCAAGAAAGTAAGTTGATCATCTTGGCATCGCAAGGACCCATCGAATTGGTGCGCATCATGCGTTCATATGACTACGAGAAGTTGCTGTGGACTACTTCAAGAGTTTTGAAGGTATTTATTAAATTCACATTGCTTTAATATCTGTTCCTTTTAATTGCTTTTCCATTTATTTCGATTAGGTAAATTAAATGTAATCATTTTATTTAGGTTTTATCAGTATGCAGTAGTAACAAACCGGCAATAGTCGAGGCTGGAGGTATGCAAGCTTTGGCCATGCACTTGGGAAATCCCAGCCAGCGTTTGGTGCAGAATTGCTTGTGGACATTGAGGAATTTGTCCGACGCAGCAACGAAGGTCGATGGATTGGAGGGACTTCTTCAATCCCTCGTTCAGGTCCTTCAGTCGCAGGACGTTAACGTCGTAACCTGTGCTGCTGGAATCCTTTCAAACTTAACTTGCAATAACCAACGCAACAAGGTGACAGTTTGCCAAGTGGGTGGTGTCGATGCTCTCGTCCGCACCATTGTGCAAGCTGGTGACCGCGAAGAAATCACCGAACCGGCAGTTTGTGCTCTCAGGCACCTGACCTCTCGTCACGTGGAATCCGAGATGGCTCAGAATGCCGTTCGTTTGAACTACGGCATACAAGTGATCGTGAAACTCCTGAATCCTCCATCACGTTGGCCATTGGTGAAGGCCGTCATTGGATTGATCCGCAATCTGGCCCTTTGCTCGGCCAATCATGCACCGTTGAGAGAGCACGGAGCCATTCATCATCTGGTGCAGCTGCTCATGCGAGCTTTCCAGGATACACAAAGGGTATGCTTGTTCGATATACATAATATCATATTCGATAATCATTTTTTTCTTTTCTAGCAAAGGGCAAGTGTGGCCAGTGGAGGCAGTCAACAAGCAGGAACATACGCGGATGGTGTTCGCATGGAAGAGATTGTCGAAGGAACGGTGGGCGCCTTGCACATCCTTGCTAGAGAGTCGCACAACCGCAGCATCATCAGAACGCAAATGGTCATACCCATATTCGTTCAGCTGTTGTTCAACGACATCGAGAATATACAACGCGTTGCAGCCGGAGTTCTTTGCGAACTCGCCGCGGATAAAGAAGGCGCAGAAATGATCGAACAGGAAGGTGCCACAGCACCACTGACAGAACTTCTGCATTCACGAAATGAAGGTAACACTCAATATTTATACTGTAACAAGTATCAACTTTTTAATAAAATTATTATTTTATTCAAAGGTGTTGCAACGTACGCAGCAGCAGTATTATTCCGTATGAGCGAGGACAAGCCGCAGGATTACAAGAAGAGGCTCTCCATGGAGCTCACAAATTCCCTCTTCAGGGAGGAGAACGTCTGGAACGCGGATCTGGGCATGGCACCCGATTTACAGGTATGTTCAACGACTTGAATGAATGACTATAGATAGATACAAGTGAGTTTTTTTTTTTTGGATGATGACATTTGTAAGTATGTAGTGTACAATTGAGACGTTCAGTTTAGAGTTCGCTTACGATTTATTTACATCACATTTGTTTATTTTATTTTTTTTTGTTGAGTGGTTGATTTTTCCTTTGGTTACGAGAATTACCTCCCTTTTTTTCGGTGCTCTTTTTTTTTTGTTGATTATTATTTTGTTTTCTTTTTTTGTTTGCATTTTGTTACCGATTATTTTAGGACATTTTGAGTCCTGACCAACCCTATGATAACCTCTATGCACAAGGGCCCCCTAGCGTCCACAGCAGTCACGGTGGTAGGCCATACCAGCAACAAGGTAATTTCATAAATTAAACGAACAGAACTGAGGAAGGATTATTGGGGGCATTTATTTACTGACAACGGATATGGTTTCATTAACACTTCTATTAATTAATATTTCTAGTACTATTTAAATATTCTTTATATGCATGCAACAAACATCTTACAACATTCACCTTATCGTTAACGCTATATATTACCATTGAAAAATAGTAGTTATGTAATTAATAAAAGCGTTAACGCGAAGATGAATATACCGATCTTTCGGCCCGATTTCTTCCTTTCTGTAAAAAAAAAACTGTTATCTTTTTATTAAGTTTAATTAAGTAAATTATATATACTAAAGCATGTGCCTTCTTAAGACTAGTTATTACTTTCATATTACTAAGAAGACACATACTTTTGGCACTATTACTAATGTTTCCTAGAATTATTATATTTCCATTAAAGTTTAATAATATCTCTATTTTAATTACTCCTCTTTTTTTTTATATAAACAACTATCGAGATCAGTTTAATGTTTAACTTAAGTATTATATAGTTTGTGAAATATTTACTGGTAACATGGAAATGAAAAAGTCGGGACTTTATCCTATTAGCATGGATTAATTAGTAAAGTAGTTTATTAGTATATATTTGCATCGTTGTCTGTAGTTTCTTTCTTTTGTAAATGGGAATCGTAGTTGAGTAATTTTATTTCTGAATAATACCGTATGTAAGTACAACATATTCAATCAATATTTTCAGTTTTATTTTAACATGTTTTCCGATCGTACATACTCTTTGTACTTTACACCACTAACTTTTTTAACTCTCTTGAATTTACGCACACACTTCCAGAATGTGCTCTTTGGGTAGTCTATGCTGCTAAGATTAAGTTTTCTCTAAACTAGGATTTCAGTTAAAAATTGTCTTTTATTATTCCGTAATCCGATTTGCGTGATTTTAGATTTTACTAGTCTTTGAAATTTAGTTAAATTTTACTAATCTCAGCAGCTGGACTATTTGCAATGATGATGATTTTCCTTTGCGGTTTTGCGCGCGTTTAATTAACGGCGATGCTTTGTTTGTTTCTTGTTTCTTTGATAGGGTATGACCAGATACCAATAGACATGCAAGGTCTTGAGATCGGGTCCCACGGAGGCGGAAACGGGTCTACGTTCAGCGCCATCGAGGCAATGGAATTAAATGCAGAGCCTGATTTGAACTTCGAGCACATAGATCCGCTTCCGACGCCACCACAGGACAACAACCAGGTTGCGGCCTGGTACGACACCGACCTCTAAGTATAGAAACAGCAATTTTTTGACCCACATTTTCCAAAATGATAAAGAAAACAACAACATGAAGACAACAAAAAAAAAATAAACGTACATATTAATCATTTCCACTCTCTTTCCGTTTGTCCCGTTAAATATCGATTGCGTTAAGAGTTTACAGATTTTCGGTAGATCGGTTGATTTCGGTTCCTCCGGACACGTTCACCCACCCACCTTCTTGTACGTTGCGTTAAGCAAGAAAAAGAATGAAAATGAAGGCGTTTCAGAACATAAAAGAAAACAAGTTTTTTTTACATATACATAATTTCGATTTATTTAAACTAAGCTTTTATACTTATATTTATAAATATATTAATTACAAGAAAAAAATATATACTATAATATATACATTACGTGTAGCTATTAGTAGCTAAGATCAGCTAGTTGATGATCATAAAAAAAAGCAGACATGAAATTATAATTGTATAATTTCCAATGGATTTAATTTGAAGACGTAGCTTTAAGGGCCCATCCCGAGATAAAAAAAATGAAAGATTGTGCAAATTTGCAATATTATTGTCAAATTTATTTTAATTATTATAATTTTTTCAAATTTATTATTTGTTTACTTTAAGAAAGTTAGTTTCTAAGACTGTTTATCCTTATTTTATTATTATTATTATTTACCTCTTATTGTTTTTGATTAATTTTGATTTCCTTCCTTCTTCAGCAACAACAACAAAAAAAATGATATTTGCAATTCTTTCCTACAGAAAAAAAAAACGTATCGTATTTATATGACAGTATTTTCTTCCACGACCCTTCTCGAAAACATTTAAAGATGAATGGAGAGAAAAAAAGCAAAATCGCACACAACTTACATGTCGCAACAAACAAAGAAACCTGTTTCCATTGCTTCGTGTACTTTTTTCGATTTTCTGAATGGAGCAACAATGAATAAACAAAAATTATATATATATATTATTATTATATTAAACATGATAAGAATAATCATAAGAAACACAGGGTAGATTGAAATTTTATGGACGTTGCGCGCAACGTCGTTGATGTGAAATAAGAATTAAGCAAGAAAAAATAAAAAGTAACTTTTAAACAATATGTAAGTGTAATTATATGATGATGTATGGATTAAAAAAAAAACGTCGAAAGAAACTGGATTTTTCATTTATCCCTTTTATTCACCTTCCAAGTCTTTGTAAAGTGGAGGTAATCGTATTCCCGGAGTTGCACAGGTAGAAAAATGTATTTTCATACTATAGATTCTATTAAATCCGTTTACTATTTCTTCTTACCTACAAGTTTATTGCTTTGGAAATTCCATTATATTTTTTGCGTTTTGTCTCTTCCGATTGTGTCTTTTGAATGCGCTACTGGAGCCATCGAAGGACCAAACATCTTTAGAAAATGTGATCGCGTCAGCGTAAGCTCTGATCCTTAAATACAATGTAATTCCATTACTTTTTATAATTAAACTCATTACACTTGTAATATTGCCATAAAAACAATAAATATAGAATATTTTATCTATCTTATCAACAATTATAAGAGATATTCCAATATTATATATTAAATAATTAATATTTAATTATTACTTATGTTTTGATAAAACATGAACTTTCTTGTTGATAATTAAATTACCCATAGGTTTACCTTTTTCCTTACTTTGCGGATTTGCTACTTGCCCCCTGGGAATAACCCAACCGCGTCCTTGCATTATGGTTGCGACTTTCTTACACCATTGTTAATAAGAGATCGACCATTTGAATATTCCTAGAAAAATATAAACTGGATTACTGTAAAAATAAATTGTTCAGAAATATCGTAATGTTTACCTATTACTTCGGAGTATATTATGCACTATTTCAGCCACAAATCTTAAAGCTTAAAACTCATTAGTTTTGTATTCCATTTGCATTATAATTGATGTTTTGTTATAGAGTAATTAAAGAAACTGCGAAGACATTCAACAAATAGAATAATTATTATATCTCTGTAATTAATGAACATTGCGTAATAGCTGTTATATGAAAACATGCGTAATAGAAGAGTTAATTTTACGTAGAAATGAATTACATAAAAAAAATATGCAGTTTTTAAGTTATTAACAAAACAATATAAAAAATATTTATATCTCAGTAATTAATTAGAATTAAGTAACAGCAATTAAATCAATAGATGCACACTAATAGACTAATCACATTAACTTGGCTGAAATTCAATTTATTTAATGGTTAGGGCAAAAGGTTTAGTCCTAATTGGAAATAATGAAAATGTTTTAACAATTATATTTCAATCTCGAGGAATTGTTATTCCCAAATATAGATGAGTACAGTTCTTCAACTTTGTATTATATTTTATAAATATTATTAATCTTTTAATAAATAAAATTAATTTGAAAGAAAATTATTAAATATTACATTTATAATCATTCATAATGTTTACTTAGATTAAGTAAATGAATTTGTGTAGCAATCTTTTTTGATTATAGTTATAATGTCCGTTTCCTGTGATTGATATTATTTTGGCAAAAAAAAGGTGAAAATTTACACTTGTTGCGCGAAGGGACGATAACAGCAGAAGAGAAGGGAGCAGAGAATTAAAAATGAGATCATATCTAAGGTCCTATTTTTTTTTCTACGTAAATATCACGTTTTGTGAAATCGTAAAAAGTCCCTTCGACCATTGTGGGTCGTGGAAAGTTCTCGTTTCCTGTTGTAAAGAGCCTCTCTCGCTTTGCTCCATCCCAGCATACCTCCTCCCACTCCAACCCCTAAATCTAGGTAGAAAAAAAAACCTGTAGTCACAGAAAATAACTGTGTGCGCATCCATCTCAATATATATATATATATATATATGCACATGCCAGAGGAAAACTAACCATTTCCCGTCAAGTGAATTCCGAAATCTGCACGAGATTAGTGCCCTCTGGAAACAGCGTTAGTCGTCCTTTTTTTTTTTGGGGGACAAAACACGCATTCCAACAGTTTCGCTTTTCCGTGTCGGTGGTGTCTCCGCATCAACTTTTCTACTCCACTTAAGTGATTTTCCTTCGTGTGTTTGCGTTAAGTTCGTCATGGCCAACTACAATAATTCTCAGCTCCAATGGATGGACGGTAAGTAAACATTGCTTTTGTTTTCCTCTCTCTCTCTTCAACTTAATTGGCTTATGTCAAAGTCTTGGAGACGCATCAATAACATTAAGAACGCGTTGCTAACGTTCTTATGACTTAAGTCAATTTTAAACAAATATTTTAATAACAATCATTGATCAAGTTCATTGTTATTACTAATTTATTTATATCTACAAATTACGCACACATTTATTAATAATTTTGCGTTCAATTATTAAATGTACAATTCTTTATTTGTACAACGCGCTTCACAATTTTTAATAAATCTGCAAATTTTTCGCCTATTTATATAAATTAAATAAAGAAAGTCTACGTATTATTATGTTTTAAATACAAAAATCAGTCAATTACTGCATGTTTTTACATTAATTTATTCAATTAATATTATAAAATATGGACTAATAAGGTTACATAATAGAAAATACAATTGACTACAGTCTTTGAGCTTAGAAAAATATGATTTCAAATAAAATATTTTGTTGTTTTTTATAAATTTTTATTTTAATTAGCTTCTTTAGCGGACTTTCATGGTGGTCCGGATTTGCCGATGTCTTCTGCGAAAGAGCAAACTCTGCTGTGGCAGCAGAGCTGCTACATGGGTGACTCCGGAATAAATTCTGGAGCCACCACTGAAGCCCCGTCTCTTATCGGCAAAGAGGATGAAGGTGATTTCCATGGTCCACCGGACTTGCCCATGGCATCGGCCAAAGAGCAAACTCTGATGTGGCAGCAGAACAATTATGCGATCGAGTCTGGGATTCAAACTGGGACGCCGTCCCTTTCTGGCAAAGAAGACGATGACATGGACATGTTCAACATGAATCAAGTGTATACACCTAGTTACACGCAAGAACAAGTCAAAGGTAATTTGTTTATGATGATAATACAAGAGATTTTCGGATTTATAGTTTTGAAATTTATTTGCAGAGATCAACACGCAGCTGAATCAAACTCGCGGACAAAGAGTAAGAGCTGCGATGTTTCCAGAAACTCTTGACGAGGGCATGGAGATACCTTCCACTCAGCAATTTGATTCGGGAAATCAAACAGCCGTCGAACGCTTAGCAGAGCCGAGTCAAATGCTGAGACACGCCGTCGTCAATTTGATTAATTATCAAGATGACGCGGATTTGGCTACTAGAGCCATCCCCGAGTTGATCAAACTCCTCAACGATGAGGATCAAGTTGTGGTCTCTCAAGCGGCTATGATGGTCCATCAATTATCGAAGAAAGAGGCCTCGAGGCATGCCATTATGAACAGTCCACAAATGGTTGCCGCTTTGGTGAGGGCGATCTCCAATTCCAACGATTTGGAGACTACCAAAGGCGCAGTCGGCACTCTGCAGAAGTTATCGCATCACAGACAAGGTCTTTTGTCTCTGTTCAAAAGCGGTGGAATTCCCACTTTGGTGAAACTGCTGAGTTCCCCAGTGGAAAGCGTCCTGTTTTATGCGATCACCACTTTGCACAATCTGTTGTTGCATCAGGAAGGATCTAAGGTCGCCGTGCGTTTGGCCGGAGGACTACAGAAAATGATTGCCCTCCTGCAGAGGGATAACGTTAAATTTTTGGCAATCGTTACCGATTGCTTGCAAATTTTAGCATACGGCAATCAAGAGAGTAAATTGATTATTTTAGCTTCTCAAGGACCTATGGAGTTGGTTCGCATATTACGCACTTACCATTACGAGAAGCTGCTGTGGACTACCTCAAGAGTATTAAAGGTAAATTAATCAATTGGTTTATATAAATGCTCAATTTTTATTCTACTTTTTTGTTTTTTTTCAGGTGTTGTCTGTGTGCAGCAGCTCTAAGCCTGCCATCGTCGACGCTGGCGGAATGCAAGCCTTGGCAATGCATTTGGGAGGTCAAAGCCAACGATTGGTTTTGAACTGTCTGTGGACTTTGAGGAATCTCTCTGATGCCGCTACTAAGATTGATGGCATGGAAGGTCTTCTGCAAGCGTTGGTACAAGCGCTGCATTCCGACGATGTTAATATCGTTACATGCGCCGCTGGCATTCTGTCCAACATGACGTGCAATAATCAAACAAATAAGACTGTCGTTTGTCAAGTCGGAGGAGTGGATGCTTTGGTCCACATAATTGCACAAGCCGGGAATCGCGAAGAGATCATTGAGCCTGCTGTATGCGCTCTGCGTCATCTGACTTCTCGCCATGCGGAATCGGATATGGCTCAGAACGCGGTTCGCTTGAACAATGGTATACAGGTGATCATTAAATTGCTCAGCCCACCTTCGCGTTGGCCGTTGATCAAGGCTGTGATTGGATTGATCAGGAACTTAGCACTTCTCCCTGCAAATCACGAGCCTCTCAGAGAGCACGGCGCGTTGCATCATTTGATGCAATTGATGGTTGGAGCTTTCGAAGATATCCAGAGAGTAAGTTGTTTAACAAAATCACATGAAAGAGTATTGTGTTTATTTATTATTATTATTGCAGAGGAACAGCACCGGCTTCCAGGGGACCTATTCTGACGGAGTTCGAATGGAAGAGATCGTGGAAGGAACTGTGGGAGTGCTGCAGATCGTCGCAAAGGATTCCCAAAACCGCGCTATAATCAGGCAACAAATGGTCATACCCATTCTGGTGCAACTGCTATTTAGCGAAATAGAGAATATCCAGCGTGTGGCTGCTGGTGTACTCTCCGAAATTTCGTTGGATAAGGAAGGTGCTGAGCTCATCCAGCGAGAAGGAGGCACTGCTCCTCTCACTGAGATCCTACACTCCATCAACGGAGGTCATATGAATCAGCAACCTATGAGCAACACACAAACTATTTCAACATACGGTGGTGGAGGCAGCGTTACCACCAACTTCGAAGCGATGGATATCGGCAATTCCAACGAACCTGAACTAAACTTTGATTACATCGCTTCTTTGCCATCGCCACCACAAAATAACAACCATATGGCGGCTTGGTACGACGCCGATTTGTAAATACTTAACTACATTTTACTTTTCTATCTTTTTATATTTTCATATAGTTTTTAAAATAATCTTTATACACGTAGTTCTTAAGGAAATGCTTTTTTTTTCTTTCTTTAATTTTTAACAATTTTCAATATATTTTTTTAATAATTAATTTCCCTCAATTCGAAACACACAATAATAATTAAAATAATGATTTCAGTAAAGTTGGTTGCATGCCGCGCTAATAATTGAAGCAATTGTTATTATTTATAATACCTGAAAGCGTGAACACGTAAATAATTGCGCCAATAAAACTAGGGTATATTAAAAATTGAACTGTAGTTTATTTCGAGTGTTTTACGACTTTATTTTTAAAATTTCAGTAACCGCACTTCAAGCTCTCTGTACAATACTAAATTTTACATCTCATATTAATGCGAATTGTATTATATAACAGTTGAAGGTCCGATGTTACTTGGGTTAAATACTACAGCTCTTCAAAAATACAAATCGCAAAATAAATGTCGACCATAGTAGCGACTGCGGCCTTTATTTTGCTACCCAATTGAATAATTTATATTAATTATTATTAAAAATATTACTTGTAACATATTTAAATAACGAATTAATAAAAAAAATGTTAATAATTAAAATAAAGTTATGTTTTTTGCAATTCATGATTGAGTTAGATTTTTCGATGTCTTCAATAAATCCTAACGCTAATTATACTCAAATTAAAGCTGAAAGTCTATTTGCAGCTTTTTGTAGTGATCCATTTGCCTGCTACAAGGTTTCTAAGGGGTCCTTGCAGAAAATGAACCATCTTCACATTTTAATATTTTCCAAGATAACCACGCAAGGTTACGTAATTAAATAAGGACCGTTCAATGCAAAGCGTCAGCTCGAAGATGCCAGTTTGTAGTTTCATAGGAAAAGTGCGGTATTCAGCTTTAAATTGTGTGGTCCATGATGTAATTATCTCGCCAAATTGCATAGAGAATGAAATAAAAATGCTTAATTTTGATAACTTATAGTAGATGTACTGACACCAATCCACAATTCCGGCAGTTAGCTCGTTGGAAAGAATGTAGTTTTCTCTTTAATTTGCGTAATCGATTAATTTAAAAAACATGAAGGTTTTGCAGCAAATTGAAAAAAATAGTTAAATAAATGGTTATCTTCATTTGCATTGGAAAATTTGAATTTAGTGTTTTAAAGAATAATTCGTTGACTTTCGTTTGCTATAAAATACATTAATATTGGTCAATTAATAAGAAAGTTATTAAGCTTTAATGAGTTTGCGGTTTTCGCGAATCAAAACAATACTGGAAGAACTAAAATGTTAATTTTCATCAAATCCCCAGAAAGAGACTAAAAGTATTTTATGTAACTATCAATCAATATTTTCACTTATTTTAATCTCTTAATATCAAATTTATGATTCAACTGAAGCAAATGTTAACGAAAATATAGGCCATTTTTGAAAACGTTGTTTTCCAAACTGTCTAATACCAAAGTTTGATAATTAATTGTGCCCAAGCTATGGTAGCTGCAAACCTGCATTTACACTCATTTTCATCTCTCTATATTCAAGATCAACATTAACGTTCAAAATTCTTCTGGGAGTTGGTGTATATTAAAATACAGGCCATTTTCGAAGACGTTATTTTCCCAACTAATTTGTGAAATACCAAAGTTTGTTAATCAATTATGAAGACAGCAATGCATCTACATACTAATATTAGCAATCATTTTAATCCGTGTATATTCAAGAGCAACAAACATTTATACGATTCTTCTGGAAGCTCATGTTTACGAAAATACAGGCCATTATATAAAACATTGTTTTCCTATTTGTTCATCAAAGAGTATATGTATGTTTGGTTGCCTGCATATTAGGCGCAAAATGAATAGTCCATCTGTTAGCAATATCTCAAAGGTTGTAGCTCAGGCTTGCGGTTTGATTCACAAAAAACGCCAACTAATTAAAGTTTAATAACTTTCTTATTAATTTACCAAAACGAAAGTGTTTTATAGCAAACGAAAGCGAAAATATTATTGTTTAAAACACTAAATTAAAATTTTCCAATATATATGAATATAACCATTTATATAACTATTTTCAATTTGCTGCAAAACCTTCACGTCTTTTAAATTAATCGATTACCACAAGTGCTAATTAAACCATCATAACTCCATCCCTGTTGGGTTAATAATCAAGAGCTGTATAATTGATAATATATACTGTACAAATATGAATACAAACAATCAGATATAACAATTAAATATATTCTTTTTTAAAGTTTAACAACTAATTTCATATTTTCCATGTTTTTTTTTCGCGTATTTCTCTTTGCTTTCTTCAAAAATAACATCCACAATTTTTCAAAACAAAACACACAACAAAAGTTACGTAATTTTCGTGCAATTAAGAAAAAAACGTGAAAACTCGTTGACTCTCAACAAAACAGCGATTTTTAAGAAAATCCTATTCACATTTTTTTTTCCCAATTCCTACATCTCCTAACAGGAGATTCCACTACTAAAGTTATTCTCAAAGAGTGGGTCGTGTAAAATATTTGGGGGGTCGTAAAAATTTAATGACAGATCAATTTTGGTTGTTTCTACACATACCCATTCATCGGGGGAGGCAGAAACTTTTTATATTCAAAACGGGATCGTAGACCAAAAAGTTTGAGAATCACTCCAGCATTTAACATAAAACATTCTAAATTCGTTCCGCTTCATTTTATAACTAAACACTTTATTTCACACTTTTAAATTATTTTCTTATAAGAAATCCATTATTCATTCTTATTTCAATTATAATATTTTACAGGATTTTCAGTTAAAAAAAGAATAAATTGAAATTCAAATATCGTTTCATTCTAGAGACGAGTACAGAATACTTAATCCATATATTGTATCTCTTAATTCTAAGAAATTCTATCAAAAATGGAATTTTCAATGTTTTTTCTAAATAATATATTTTTAGTAATAATCACTTCATAATTTTAACTACATATTTTAATGTTTTTATTTTATGAATAAGCATTCGCTTATTTTTGATGTCATACAATGAGCGTAAAGTGGCAATTCCTGTAACTCCCACCGTGTTTATACACAGTGTGCATCATCTGCATTTTTTTAAATTATTCTCGAGGTGTTATCAATATAAATACTTAAATTCGCGTTTTCAATTAAAACAGTATATTTTTCTGTACTAAATAACAGAAGTGTATTATTTCTTATTTTAAAAACACCTTATCCTCGCGTCGGAAAGCATGCCTGGTTCTTACATTTTTGTTTATAGGAACACACATGTTATTAGCTTATGAAAAATATACAGTTTATATAAATTGTTTTAATTTCAACGCAGAAATTATAATAAATATAACATCTACTTATTCGCTTCTACTTAATTCATAATACCACTAATTGTGTTTTCTTTCAACGCATTTCTCATGCATAAGTCATTTATCATTTGTTGGAGCAACTGTGTATTATTCGCAGAATATTAGTTTTTATTGCTGTTTATAGTTAAAATCAATAGTCTGTATTTTCTTTTCAATTGATAAAATAAATAATTAGCATTGAAGTAGTCAAAACAAATAAATAGTCAAATTAGTCTAGACGGATGGAAGGTAGGTAGCTGCGATAAAATGTAATAATGTTATCACAAATATACTTAAAATGTTCATGTAGGCTTTCTAGCAGTAAAGCCAGATAAAGCCCTCGGAAGATTAAGCTTTTAGTTATTTTTAAAGCGAAAGTCAATAAACTCGATGAAAAGCATAATTGACCGGAAGGTCTTCGTCGTTTCTGCGTCTCTTTGGATGAAAATGAAAAGCGCAGAATTGCATTAAAATAGATAAGCATTATATGAGTAGAATAATTCTTTGTAATCTAAAGAAAAGAGAGAACCATGGGACTATTATTATAGATTCTTCTATTTATTTTTAAACCCAAGAATGTAGGCAACTGTAAATAGAGTGTAGGGTGTAATACGAGCATCAAAGTGGGGGAGGTGTGAGCGTCGGAGGTGGTGATGCGCGAGCAGCAGAGTTCGGTAGTTGTTGGTCTACGTTGGTTGCTGCTGGTCTTGTTGTCGAGTGAATCAGAGTCAAAGGAAAACAGAGCATCTTTTGTTTACACTCGCGAGACGAAGAAGGCCTTAAGATGGTGTCCGGTGGCATGACATGTGTGAAATACCTGCTCTTCTGCTTCAACCTCATCTTTGCGGTGAGTACAATTTGGGTCACCGCACCGATGACATATTTATTTCATTCTTCCTATGATGTCTTCAGATCTCAGGGGTTGCTATCTTCACCGTGGGTATGATCATACACACCGTGTACCATCACTACTCGTACTTCATAGAGCCCAGCTTTGAGTCAGCTCCGGTCGTCCTGATCATCGTAGGAGTCATCGTCGCTGTGGTAGCGTTCTTCGGCTGCTGCGGCGCCGTCAAAGAGAACCACTGCATGATCATCACCGTAAGTGCAACAACAACATTGCACAATGTGATCCAATTATCGTTTAACATCTCTTCGTTTTCAGTTTGCCGCATTGTTGCTCATCATCTTCACGATTGAATTAGCTGCTGGTCTGGCCGGTTACGCTCGTCGCATGGAAGTTGGTGATATGTTGGAGAATCAATTCAACACGAGCATGCAGAACTACTACGTCCGCAAGGATGTCGAAAAGTCCTGGAACATTTTGCAGCATGAGGTAAAAAGACATCAATTTGCTCTACTTCCGTCCGATTATTTACTAAATTCGTAACGATAATTCGTTCTTTGTATGTCGTCTCCGTTGCCCCAGTTTCAGATTGTTTCGCATTATTCATTAGCCACATTATATTGATTTCTGTTTAAATAATTAATCGTGTCCGACTCGACATATGCTCAACACATCAAATCATTCTCATTCAAACATCTTAATCATCGATTGCTAAATCTCTTTTGTTCATCAATTAATGCTATGATTCATTCAAGATGAAATGCTGCGGAATGAACGGACCCGAGGATTGGCGCTCCGTCATCCACAACGAGACTCTGCCGCACACTTGCTGCCCGGACACCCAAAACGATGGCACCTGCACCATAATGACCCTCAACAAGTACACAAAGTCGTGCTTGGAGAGCCTCGAAGATACTCTCCTAACTTATTCCACTATTATAGGAGGCGTAGGATGCGGAGTGGCCGTAATCCAGGTAAGATATCATCCACTTTCTAATTGCTATTTATTATCTTTGTCATTCTGTAATTACCGGAGCGCATTATTAAAATATTATCGGAGAAAACTCGTTTCGAAATTATACACATTTGCGCAAAGTTTTTTGAAATTGAAGCCCAAGCACGAAGGTTAACGTAATAATATACCGATTTATTATTAATGAAATTAATAGCGTATCGATCTTTTTTTAAATATAATACAACTTATTACACATTACATTATTTATACTTGGTAACGAAGTTTAGTCCAAGGGTATTAAAAATATGATTAATCCTTCTATTAAAAACATATTTAAAGAGAAACTCGTCGTTATCTCAACTAGAATTACAACAAAATTATAATAATGATTAATTTATTTAGTCATTATATATTTTAAAATATGTTTAAATTTCAATTTGTATTAATGTATTCAAAATGAAAAAGATATGAATGATTTTATAATTTTCTTTATTGATGTTACAATAAGAAAATTTTGGGAAATTAAATAATTATACATACATTATTATATAAATATTACTCATTAAATATTTATAAGCTTTTCGGTACTAGTTTTAACGTTATTAATTCTGTTGAAGAAGCGGTAACTTTGTATGCGTTAAATGTCGAGGTAAATGGAAAACAAGGCATAGGTTTTAGATATCAAATGCAGCATGCATTGAATCATCCAATTGGAGTGTAGAAATGGGTCATCCTATATATAAGATAAAGACATGAGTCATCCGTTTCTAAAAGAAAACATAATATTAAAAGAAAGTTGATCAAATTTTTAAGTTAAATTTACTTTAATTATTTTACGTTTTAACCAATCTATATTTTGTTTATTGCATGAGAAAATTCGTTATTATAAATTATTTCAAAAAATTTAAAAATATCTAACATAAATTTTCAAAAAAACTTTTAAAAATTAAACGTAAAAATATCAATATTATTTAATATCCAGAATGAATTTGTTTCGAGTGGAAAAATTTCAATTATTTCGTAAACACGCGTCAAATTATGTAAATCGCTGCAATAACATTATGCATTTGAATGCCGAGTACAAATTGCCCTCTATGCAATACTCCAGAGGTATTTCTACTGATTAGGTCTAGTTCAATTGTAGTGCCATTGTTATAACCGCTTAGGCGCACTATCTTCGCTGAACGAAGTTCATTGTATAATAATATTACGTAAAAATATTTAAACACGTTTTCACTGAATGCTGAAAATACGCATTAATTGCTTGAAAACAGAAATCGCCACATCTCACATAACGATTATATCAAAAGATGATGTAATCATAAATTATATAACAAAAAAATGCCTGGGAATTGTATTAAATAAACGAAAATGAGAGCGATGATCCTGGATTGCATTGCAAGTAATCCAAAGACCTTCGCATCATTAACCGACACGTTCCGCTTGGAATTAACGCATCGGCAAAATTAAGCCCAATTGAATTAATTTACGTGAATTACGACTGTGCCGTTTTTTTTCTCTGTATTTGTATATTAACTCACGTTGTTCTTGTTTCAGTTAATTGGAGTGGTATTCGCCTGTTGTCTGGCCTGCAGCATCCGCAAGGAATACGAAACCGTTTAAACGCGCCGACGATCTTAAATTTTCTTTATTATTTGTGATTTATTTCTATATTTTATATGATTATTATTATTGTATGTTTTGTTGAGTTTCTCTAATTTATTTTCTTATTTCTCTGACTGATTTTTCTTATCTATTACGTTGTGTTCTCATTATTTACTTTTTGGTTGTTCTTGATTGAAGATGGATGTTCTCACTGTTGATAAGTTAAGTTTAGGACGAATGAGTCAATTTTTTTGATAATAACAGATTTTACATGTAATGTTTATGTACGCGCATCTCGTGTCGGTGTTTCTCAACCGGGACAAGAAAAGGAAGGATACATTTTCGGTTCGTTGACTAAAAAAAAAAAGGAAAACGCATATGAATTGATAAAATGATTGATGCAACTATTTTTTATCTATGTATATTTATTTCGTTGGAAATAAATTGAAACATGTTCGTGGGATCATTAATTTACTATGTTGAAATATTTTTTCGGAATTTCGCAAGACTTTGGTTGGGAAGCACTGTGTTTAGGTAAATAGATAATTCGGATATGTACTCACAATTGTAAGCAAGTAAACAATGTAGTTATATATATATATATGCGGTGTGTGTTCGACTGAACTTATTTACACTTTTCGATTTACATTTATGAATTATATAATATAATAACGTGTACCAAATATTAGGGCAATATATGTATGTAGATTTATTCGTTTTACCTTTACACAGATTCTATTGGAGAAGAAGTATAACCAAAAATTAAATATAAGTGGAGCGACCATTATTTCTTTTCCAACATGCGCATCTCGATCGTTGTTGCAAAGGAAATATTTCAATGTTTAGATTATATATTCTATAATATATGTTATAAAATATAAATATTACACACGAATTGGCGTTTTCATTCTTTCAAACATGAAGGAAACGCAGACCGATTTCAGATCGCAACTTGTTCAGCGGGTTGGAACAGATCGTATTCCTTGTGGGTCTTCTTGTGTGCGGATAATTGACCCGATTGAGTGTACCTGTTACCGCAAATGTTGCAGGCGTAGGGCTTTTCCCCGGTGTGCGTCCTCATGTGGCTCTTCAAAGTCCTGGAATCGCCGAATCCTTTTCCACACACCAAGCAAATGTGATCCTTTATACCCGAATGAGTTTTCTTGTGTGCTGCCAAATTACTTGATGTATGGTACCTCTTAGAACATTGATCACATCCATATGGTTTTTCACCTAAAAAATTAAAAAAAAATCTTGTCTTTGCCATAACACATTATTCTATCAATTGGATAGCTTAGGTATCATAATTTATCAAACTACAAAAAAAGTAAAGATATATAGTAGTTTGATCTAATAGAAACTTATGAACTATACCATAGATTGATAGTCTGAAACATTTATAAGTTATAATACCTGTATGTGATCTCATATGAATATTTATGTCTGCAGCTCTAGCAGCCCTCTTCCCGCATATCGAACACTGAAACTTCTTCTCCCCTGTATGTGTCATGGTGTGTGAAGCCAAAGCGCTTTTGCTGATGAAAGCCTTCGGACACGAGGAGCAAATATAAGGTCTCTCCTGTGTATGCGTCCTAGTATGAATCTTCAAATACGATGACGTGGCGAATGCAGATCCGCAAACGGTGCAAACGTAAGGCTTCTCCCCTGAATGCACTCGTTTGTGAGCAGTCAGCACGAAGGAATGAGCGAATCTTTTCCCGCACTCTGTGCATTCGTAATTCCTCTCTCCAGTGTGTATCTTTTTATGGGCGGCCAATCCATGCGGATCAGCAAATCCTTTCCCGCAAATACTGCATATGATGGGCTTTTCGCCCGTATGGCTACGCATATGAATCTTGAAAAATAATTACAATTAATAATAATACCAATAAGTAGTTGATGTTTAAATACAGCTAAATGTCCCGGCTCGAAAAATCGTTTTCCACAGGTATTGCACAGGTGCTTCTTGTCACCCCCATGTATCCTCTTGTGCTTGATTAAGCTTCCTCGTAGAGAAAACGTTTTGCTGCAAATTTTGCACGCGTAAGGACGGTAATTCGTGTGCGTTCTCATGTGAGCATTCAACTGTTTAGCCACTAAAACCTAGCATGTAAATATAGATATATGAAGGATATTATATAAAAAAAACTAAATCAATTACAAAGAAACTCCTTGCTGCAAAGTTTGCAAACTGATTTCCTTCCATGCATTAGTGAGTGTGTCTTCAATGCACTCGAGGATTTAAATACCCTCTCACAATCTGGACATTTATGTCCCTCATCCAAGACAACTTTGACTTCTTCCTCCTCGTCATCTTCTTCTTCTTCCACAGAATTATTACTTTCTGTAACATCTTCATCAATTGATTTTGCTTCTTCAATACTGGTGATAATTGACGATTTCAATAGAGATTCAGATTTGATGCATTTCTCTCTGAAGCTGTTTGCTGCATTCAATTGTTCTAGACATTCTAAGCAAATGTAACTTGGATATCCATCATCACTGGATACCTACAAATAACAATTGAATTCCCACATACAACTAATTAACACTAGTTATGATCGTTACCTTAACTTGGGTTAAAGAGTATAAAATATCATCTATGTTATCCTTGTAAAGGATGCACAACTCCTGATCTTCCTTGATAATTAAACACGTCCTGCATAGTTTATCGATATTTGCAATTAGCAAAATTTCCTCGGACATTGTTTTTCAGGTTAGAAGCCAAACATTTCTGAAGGTGTAAATAAACATAGCAAATGTCAGATGACTTTGCTGAAGAACTTCTCAGATGGCGCCAGCAGTCTATATTCTTATATAATAATAATTAGATTACATAAGTCGCCTGTATCGCGAAAATCTGATACGAAAAGTCGTTGGTTCAATTCCCAAAAACCAACAATAAATTTGTGGTGGCTGTTAAACACGAAAGGGGTAGAATTAGGGCCGGAAGAGATTTATATCAATAAATAAATTGATATAAATCTCTCTTTTTTTTAAATAAAATAGATTACATAAGTAAAGTTATATATTTAATCAGAATATTCGATTCAAATCCTCAAACAACTTTGTATTCACTGGCTAATTAACTTGCCAAGTCTAGTCATATAATCATATAAAGAATCCTTTAAACTTTAAAGGATACTTGATAATTAAAAATCGTTAAACTATTGCAGTTATTAAGTTACTTAATTAATTTTCGTTTTGAATCATTTTTAGTCGCCTGTATCACCAAAATCTGATATCTGATTGGTTCGATTCCGAAAAAACCAACAAAAATTTGTGGGGGTTGATAAACCCGAAAGGAGTAGAAATTTAAGTATTTCAAATATTTATCGTTAAGAAATAATAACACTTAATTGGTGTTATTTTATAAATTAATTAGAGAATATAAAGAAGAAACGGTGTTTCTCAAAATTAGAGGAATAATTATAATAAATAATGAAGGATTAAATAAATTACGAATTGTTTGGGTTAAGCGTTATATAAAAATATTTTTATTTAAAAAAAAATATATAATATGTAAAATATATATAGATTTTTTTATCGAGATTGACTAGACAAAATATTAACCCCTTAAAATGCTAAGTATTGTTTTCGTTGCGTCAATTAAGACCTAAGTATTCATTATATATATGTACACATACATGCGGATATTACAGTAATAGCACGAAATAATAAGATTATGTTAAGATTATTAATCACCGTGAAACTAATTAAAGACAAATAAAAATTATACATATATAAAAAAGAAAACATTGAGCTTTTACTTGGTGTGCGTGTGTGTTTGTTTGTTTCATTCACAAATTAAAGAGTTATAAATTAATAATAGATATATAATACACGATTAAAGCTAAATAATAATGATATAAAAAATACAAATTACGCAATATTCCATTGTTTATGTATAGAAAATAAATATGCTCGAGTGATGGGGGGGGGGAAAGACAAATATATAAAAAAAGAATAAATTGTGTTTTGATTAGATGAAGCAAAATTAAAGAAACCGGTGTGGTGTGGTGGTGCGCCTTATATCCATCATGCGACATTTGACACCTGTCGGCTTTAATGTGTCATGCGTTGTTGGTTTTTGGAAGATATCGAATTTGTTACCCTTTTCTTCTCTTGAAGAGGGCCCGACATCGGATTAGTTTTCTTTTTCTCTTCGATACAGTTTGTTTTTTTCTTCCTCTTCATCTCTCGTCTTTCTCTTTCTTAAATAACAAAAAAAACATAGTCCTTAATTCGTGGCTTAACGTAATTTTCCGTACAAATTATTAATGAAATTTTTTCGAATGCAAATCGGATTAAGCCACGTCACCGGGATTCTTTAATGCACCATTAGACACCAACCATGTATTCCTCCCTCCCGCCTTCGTCGCGTCTCCTCTTCCTTCGCGGCGAGCGGAAAATGCATTCTAATCGGTTTATCCTTGAGGGCCCATTTGATTCATCTAATCACAAACGTAATCATAACTAATATGATGAATATATGTGGCTTACATAAATATCAATTAATTGTAATGTAATCATAATAATAATAATAGCTACGAGTTGTACTTAAACTTATACATTTAGCAACAAAATTGTGTGATCGCAATGGACGGCAAGATTTTCGATATCACCTAAACATAACGTGAACAAAGATGATCTTTAGCTCAAAGATGATCACCTTTGAAGATCATCTTCAAATAAGATGATTATTCTGGTGGAGATCCGTTGCTATCCTCCGTGTGGTTTCCGCTGGAATCGGAGTCTCTGCATTGGGGGCAGCAACCCTCTGATCCGCCACCGCACAGGATGAACATCTTTCCGCAACGGCTGCACTCCTCCTGCGGATCTCCTGCAAGAAATAGAGAGAAAAAAATACGTTAGCAGGTCGAAATGTCATATATTTATATCGAAGTGTGTTCATTTGAATACGTGACTCACGGGTGGCAATTTGCGCAACATGTTTTTCTTCCTTTCTTTCATTGAAACACAAATTGTACGGCTGTCCGGACACAAAAAGCCAATGCACAATTGCACCTTGTAACGAGGCTTCTCATAAGAAACGGACACGTAATGCGACAGTATTTACAGTTTCCTCTGAGAGCCGTTTGGAAAAATCGGCGAGAAAAGGAATGGTAATATGAAGAAAGACAGAAGGAGAAGGATTTCGAATCGCACCACTCGTGCTACGGCGACGGCCAATTTAGAAAGCACATTTCCTTTGTCCTGACCTGACACTTATCCATTATCGGTGATTTTTCTGACCCTCACATCATTTGCAATAAGCATACATTAAATATAATCAAATTTACAATAACTTATAAAAATAAATAAATTTAACTTAAGAACATTATCGTTGATGGTTAAGTTAAGAAGGAAACTTTATAATAAATACTTCTAAGATAAAATCGTCTTTCTAAAGTGAATTATTAAAATATGTATGATGATTTGAAGCTATACCAAATTTGTGTTTTAACTGTTGAAGACATGGCTTTTACTTCTTATCTGGTATCTTTTATGGTAGCACATTAATATAATACCCGTTATTGTAATTAAACATGTTATCGGTGTATTAACATAAAGTCTCCGATCCATAACCAAATGTGCATCCAACGACACCTTCTATTATTTTTATTACTCTTCACAATCATTAATTACTTTTATAAGTGTATTTTTAATTTATAAATAGAAAACCTATATAGATAAACAATTAATCAATTAAATATTAAATTAATTGCAATTAGTAAGAATCACAGCCAAGTATAATTAAATTTACAAAAAAATGGATTTCTCTAATCGTTAATTTAACTAATCAGTAAATCTTAGTGCTTAATTTTTGTTCATAATTTATAAAGAATTTCCAGTGTAAACATAAAAATTAAAAAGTAATTACAATAGAATTTTTGTTTTGCAATTAATCACGTTATATAATCATTGATATTTAGTTTGTAGTGACATTTGGTAACCGAAGATAAACTTTTTTTTTTTCAAAATACATTTCCTAAATGCTCTTTTAATTCAAGGTAGGAACTGCAATTAGTTATTTTCTTCGAGATAATTGGCGTTTCCTGTTTATTCTCTTGTAAAACTCTTGCATACACAAGGATAGAAATAAATCATATAATCAATTATTAAACGAAAATATAAAGACTTTCACTTCGATTTATTTTAAGCACACTTTATATTTGCTATAATTAATTTCTATTCATGAATATGCAAATAATTTGATTATAAAAAAATGATTTTTTGTTAAACATTCAATTAGTAACATTTTCTAATATCATAACAGCTTATTACACTAAAAATTGTTTTCGTTTATCGAACGTTTATTATCTAATTATTTTCAACAATTAATTGTAATCTGTTGCAATCATAAAGTAATTGCAAACGCGGACTAATGAAATAATGAGGAAATAATTTATTTTGATTGATATTAAAAAATTTTCCTTTCATCATTCTTGTTTTTCTTTTACAATTCAATGAAATTTCCATCTTAATTACAATTAATTTAGCTTTATTTCCATTTTTGTAAATATATTTTGTGTATTATTATGAAATTGGTATGAGGGTTTCTATTGGAATTTAATAAATTTCGACTACCCAAAAACCGAGCACGAACAAAAATAATACAGGCAAACCCTGAATAAATTTCATATGGTTTTCGTGCTCGTTTATTTTCTCATTGTATACTCTTTTTTTTTTGTTGTTGTTCTTGATCCATCAACCTATCCTATTTCTCTTCCATTTCGGTCTGCCTCGTTTACAATTGTAAATCGTGTGCTGTTGCGTTTTCAACCCCGAAATCTAATTATAATTTCAAATTTCCTATAAACTAATGCGGTATAAATTGGGATGATGGCTCGGACTGCTCATCATCATCATCATCCGCATCCACACAATTCTTCCCTGCGGCCAGAATTATAGACACACACATAGAAAAATGCGGCGCCTCGTGATCACAACACACAAACCCAGCCAACATAATGTCACTTAATTACTGTAACGTGGGAAACGCCAGGTAGCGAAATCAATTGCGAACGGTTCAGAAATCCCGAAAAGGGATGCTTTCTTGATGTTGTTGTCGTTTTTTTTCTTCTTCTAGGGGCGGCAAATTAAGGAGATAAAGATGGAACGGACTGTATGGGTTTTCGTCGGCTCCGTAGATCCACTCGTCCTCTCCGGCTGCGAGGTTTCATTCACGTTTTAGTTCTTCTTTGCCTAATGAATTTCATGCTGCATATAGTCTTTTAAAGACCAATAAAACTCGTTCCATTTCCTGTCCAGCTTGCGTTTTACTGGCGCTCGCTTAACGGACGTGAATTGAACTTTGTTTGACTTTATTTTTATTTTTAATAATTTAAGTCGAGCTCTGATTTTGCAACAACAATATACCTTGAACTATTATATTTTTAACAGAATAAATACAACAATTACAACACATGTATTATTCGAACAATACTTTTGCAATTTTGCACAATGAGTAGAAAAAACTAAAAAAAACTTTGTATTTACTTGTATTATCACATCTTTCCCTTTGTTTTGAATTAAATCCTCTTTATTTTTAATAAGAATTTTGATTTTTTCAGATTTCTTTCTTTCAATATGTTATGATTACAGAAGAGAATTAAAAGTTTGTATCAAAATTGTTACATAATGATAAATTACATAAATGAGATACTTTGTAACTAATTCTAATTAGATACAGAGACAAACATTTTGAAATTCGATCTGTTTAATAAGGCAGAAAGACCTTTGGTCAATAGTCTTTTGTAGCACTTGACTTTTTGATTATTGTATGGAAACGTTAAATTATGTTTTTTTTTCTAATCTTGAAATTAATATTATTATTAAGAAATTTCATGTGTAATTGTTATGTAATGATAATTATAATGATTAATGCATAACTTTTTAATTATTTAAAGTTGGAAACTTACCTTCGTGTGTTTTCATGTGAGCTCTAAGATTGCAGGCGAGTGCGAACTTCTTGTTGCAGAGATCGCAGGCGTGCGGCTTGTCGCCTGGAAAAATGTAAAGAAAGCACGCAATTAGTGGAATCCTTGCGAGATGCGAAGAACCGCCCAAGAAAATATATCCCCCTATTGTGAATCTCGGTCCGTGTCATATTATAAAGTCGAGCAGTTTTTGTCGCGTTTCGCAAAGGCCAAAAACCCCGATCCGATTCGCATCCATCCATCCCTAGCACGAAAAAGCCGTCCGACGTCTCCTCTGCAGACGAAACGTATAAATTTCATTTCATCGCACACTCACACACATTCGTATATACACATACACACACAAAAGAGAACACATCCAAAAACCAAAACAATAAGCGAAGCCGAATGCAGAGGGACCAAAAGGAGAAGTCGAAGAGGAGAGCAACTCAGCAGCAGACTCTCTTTTCAGCAGCAGCTCACGAAAATCCTCGGGCCAATTATTTTATACGTAGCGAATTTCTAAAAATCCTTCTCGATTCTCTTCACTTCTTCAGCATTCTACCATCAACCGCACCACCGATGTCCAATTAAAATTTTGTTCCGATCGATCACACACTACCACCGATGCTGCGCGTATACGTATGTATATGTTCTCTAAACCGGCCCTCATCGATCATAAATAATTAAGAACTCTCATCGGCGACATATCATTATGGGATCGAGGTGCAGGAACAACAACAACAATAAAAAATAAAAGGATATTTTATACGTTACTCGAGGAAAAAGCCAGTATAAGAACGGAAATTATTCATCCATTCTCTAATTAATTTGTCATACACCTTTCAACAGGTACATACAAGAAATACCTCAGCCAGGGTGGATCTACATTATGTAACTTCGAGATCGAGGATATTTTATAAGAAGTAATGAAGAATGGAATCACCAACTCAACTTATCAAAAAGTTAAACAATATGTGACATTGCTAATGGATAATTGGATGGATAAATGTCACATTATGACAACTGGAATTACTACTAATTGATTTAATTCAGCGGTCGGGGAACTTTTTTAACCATTACCCCAAAATATTTTTGCGTAAGTCGATATTAATAATTAAAGAAAATAATCAATGTAAATTTTAAATAAACATTATTTATTGAATTAATTTACATTTACATATTTATAATAAAAAAAGTTACATGAAAATAATAAGTATGTAATAGACAAACAAAATAAAAATTTTAAATTGGAACAAACAAAAATTACTTGAAAACTTTCCCCCTTCAGATTTTGGAAAAATGATGTTGCTTCATGTTTGATATAATACTTTAAAATTGGGACTTTTTGATGTAAGAGCAATTTGAATTTCGGCGTTTAATCGAGTTCTGTTTCTAATGAACATAATTAGAGTGGAAAAGCCTTGTTCACAATGGTAGGTTCATGCAAATGGCAGCAATTTTTTTTTCCGCCTCCTGATGTGCAATTTTGAAAGCCTTTGTCAACCAAAAATACGACAGATTTGCTTTGGTCTCAAATTGAATACGTGCTTCAGTATTGGATCGAAGTTCAAGAATTGCCTCTCCCAAACCTGGAGATTCTTCTGGTATGTTAGTAATTTCACATTTAAAAGGATCTACAACCCAATTCACAGTTTGTACATCAAAGTAGTCAGAGAACCGCTCTCTGAGTTTGGTAAGATGAAATTTAAAAAAATTCCCCATTCATTTTTACCCCATTTTGGGTAATTTACCCCGGTTCCCCGACCGCTGATTTAATTAGTATTAGTAGTAATTTTGATTGAGTTATATAAAGTACAACAAAGTATTACGTTTGTCGTAAACGTGTAAGTTACAAGCGTTGGTGGTCTGTTGTGAAATGCACGCTTGAAGTGTTTATTCATTTATGAAGCTAATTTAATACGATTTTACAAGGGTGTCATAAACGCTATATAGTAGTTAAAACGGTGTATCTATTATAAAAAAGAAGCTTGTCCAACAAACGTTACTAACATTATGACTGCTGTAGATATAAAATTAACAAAATAAATACAGTAATTTGTTTTATCTCAATAAATAATAAAATACTTATATGCAAAGAACTCAACAGTCTTCAGCCAATTTCAAATTATATGATTATTTTAATTAAATGTTAATTTTAGGGTTTAATAAAAATTTAAACTGTTTTTCTGAAGTTTATTTTCAATGTATAGTTATGAAATTATTAAAATCCGGTCCTGACTTTTCGGATTGCAATAAACAATCGGCAATAGGGAAATAAACTAGGATGGTTGATTAAACGCGATTGGTTTATTGCTATTTGGTATTATTTTTCTTTCTTCTTCTTCTTCAACTCTTTCTCGTTCTTCTTGGTGCACCGTTCTCGGTCGGTGCAATAAAATTGCATTAGCACAATTGCGGCGGCGGCGGCGACGGTGGCGATGGAAGAGGCAGAGGAAAGGAGGCGGCATGAAGCACAAGAGAGAGGCGCGCGCGACGTTTTGTTCTACCAGATTCGATTTAAGATAATAAATTCAAGAGCAAACAAGCCCACTTGTTACCGAGCCGACTCTACAAATCTGCACACAAATGAAAAACAAACAAACTTACACGCACATGCTGCTCCGAACCAGGACTACTACTCTCGCTCTAATCAATGAAACCAATTCAGTACCATCTAACAACTATTCAAATACAGTAAGATACCACCGCAGCAACATGGTTGCTAAGCTACTAAAACAGCAATAGGATGTACAAACATAATCAAGTAGTCTTAATCATTTTGCCAATTTGTTTATAAAAAAAAAATCCAATTATTTTATAAATTTCCCACCATTTCTCAATTAAGATTATCACGTCTCTATTGCGCATATTAGTACTGTAATAATTATTACGTAATGATAATTAATAATCGCGATTTATTTACATCTTTACTTTGTACGTAATTCTCAATGATCCAATGATCACGTGCACCAATTAAATCATTGCAAAGGCAATTTAAACACACAACCATACAACTGTATTTCATATAATAAACTGTCAAAATTGTGTTGTTATATAAAAGTAATGCTGGAGGATTAGCTTTGATATGTGTAATTCGTGAAGAACATCTGTGATTGGTGGCTTTTGGAAATTGAGCGGATTTATGGGATTCCTCAAATTACAAATGTATTCGAGAGAAACTGAACAACGAGAGGATGAAGAACGGAAAAAAAAAAAAAAAAAGAAAACAAGGATGAACGCGAAGAGAAAGGTGGATGGTTTGCGTGCGACTGGTTATGCCGTCTCGTGTTTATTTTTCATAATTTATAATATAATATAACATTTGCCGGCTGTGGGATTCGGTTTGGGGTTGCGTGGTGGAAGGCAGCTCTTCAGCATCAGCTCTTGCGGCCGAAGAAGTACACACACACATTCACGCATACGTGCATGTATACGTATTATACACATGCACACACACACACACAGAGAGATATACTTCGAAGGAGAAGGATCAGAGCCATAATGTCATTCGCTAAATTAAGTGGCACGGTTGTTTATGGACTGTCAATGTAAGTCATAGCCTGCTAACGAGCTGCGGGCATATATTTTCCCAACACCTCATTTTGCATATACAGTGTGACTCAACGGAGAAGAACCGCCTATATACTTGTATACCAAATACTAAATGTTACATCTGGTGCTACAAATTTATACAAATAGTTGAAACTTTACAATTTAATTGATCTTACAATTATAGTTAATCTTAATAAATTAAATTTTTTAAAAAAGAAAAAAATAGTTTCATTTGAATTAATATTAAGTTGATTTAGTTATAAGTTATGTAATTATTATTTTCTTCATTGATTATGAAATTCATAATCAATTAATTATGTTGTTTAAAATAATGAAGTTTTTATTGAGTTTTATTGAGTGAATGTTTGTTATGCAAATAATGTGAATTAGTAAAGGGTGATTTCTGTTTGGTAATAAATGTTGGATGAACCGTGTCCGATTCGTTGCGGTACTAAAGAGGAGACAAGGAATGGACGGACATTCATTCAGCTGCTCTGCATATAATAAGTATGAGAGAATATTGTAAGTTCCAGATAGTTCACCGCGGCGGCAGTTCGGAATTAATTGGGCCTTTGTTTGGCTTTGGAAACGGATGAGAAAACGAAGAAGCAGTAGCAGCAGAAGAAGAAGGAAGAGGAGGAGACAAGAAGACTATGAAGTAGACGAAGAAGAAGAAAAGTCTCCTCCGGTTTGACGGTGATAGATACGTGACGTCATGCGCCCGGTGGTCCATCGGAGGCGATTTGAATAGAATGGTGGAAGCTGCACGGAGCACAACTAAATCACGGCCAGGTTGGAGGGAGCATATACACATACACATAGCAGATACAGAAGAGGCCGAGCCGACGAGAGAGCTAAATCTGAAATTCCCACACACAAATTGATATCTTCTGTGTTGGTTCTGTGCGGAAAGGAAGAATGGTACGGCATGGCGTGGTATGGATGGAAGAAGTAGTGTGGGGCGATGCGAGGGAATAAAAAATTAAATGTAGATCCGTGGTGGATTTATCCTCTGCGTGGCGGTGATTTAGAATGGCAGTCGACCGACTGGTTTATTCGGCTCATTAGGCGGGGGCCGGTGGCTTAATTAACATCTCTTTCTCGCGTCTTATCTCATCCCCAAAGGTACCGGGGCTACAAGAGGTACCGGAGGTACCAGAGGCACTCGAGACTATCCGATATCACCTCCAGACACGCAAACACCTCCTCCGAGAGTGCTGGAGGAGACACAATCCTACGATGACGAACCAACAACACTTTCTTAATCTTTCCATTCTATTCTAGCCTCGTTGCTATATTTTATTACAATTTTTTTTATCGCTTCATTTTCCTTCTCTCTTTCCAAAGTCTTCACCTTTTCATCTCCTTTCTTCCATCTGGGAAGCTCTCTCGAGCGTGTTAGTCCCTTCGACAAGAGGACTTCGGCTCTCTCGAAGATCCGAGTTGCTCGAGCGTGTTGAGCCCGTATGTATATATATATCGTATCGATATCATCATCATCATCATCGGCCGATGATAAGTGAGAATGCCTT